ACGATGGGCTAACTGACCTGACCTCATGCTCATATTATTACCCTCCACTGGTGCCCCGCCAGCGTAAACCGTTAGCGCAGGCGGGTGCACCATTCCATTATCACATACAAAAAAAAAATCAGTGGATGTAATGGGCCATCCATTAATCGCGTGAGGCTCGACAGGGGGCAGGAGGGGTTTGACAATAATCACGAAATATCACAAGAGGGGGTGGGGGGGGGGGTCTAGTAAGACATCACGTGTATTTATTTTATGCCGATCAAAATCAATCTGCAACCTTTCTGTCTAGACATTTTTATCATGGTCCTTAATTTCAGATAATATTCTAAAAAATTTAAGATTCTTTGAAGGTAATAAAAATACACGTGATGTTGAGTGGGAGAGGGGGGGGTAGTTTTAAACCTCCAAGTAACACCAAGGGGGAGGGGGGGTTAAAAATACTTTAAAAAAATCACGTGATTAATGCACGGCCCCTAAGTAATGTAACTATAATAATAATGATCTGGCTTACAGATGGTCGGAAAATCCGATATTGTCCCGGAATTTTGCGTCATGCCCCGTATCCATAAATTAGATCTATTGTTCCTAATTCTGAAAACCTACTGTTTTTGTAACAAAATGAACTAACAACGAACGACGCGGCTAGCCTGCCTGTGCGTTCCTTTTTTTCGGACTACTCTAATGCTGTTGGCCGCAGCTGGCATTTACAGCTGCACTGGAAGTTACAGGGCGAGTGCTGATCGCACTCCAAAACCGCGGAAAGACTTATGGAGCGGCTGAAGGCCAACTTCCGCGTGAAATGGTTTATGTTAGTGCCTACGATTCTAAATTTAGATAATCAGAAATGTTACATGACGTTATTATTAATTATAATTATTTATTAACCTTGTAGTTTCTGAATTCACAGTCATTAAAGGAAAATATATCATTAATGACACTAAATATTAAAATAATATTTTAGCATAACTTAAACAAACACAGCTTGTGTTATAGATACTAGGCAACTGATATAAATACACCCAGATTGATAAAAACAATCATACTCATCAATACAAATGTTACCGTGGGAGGCATCGAACCCGCGACTATGTAAGGAAGTAAGGCGATGTGCTAAACCGCTAGACCAAGGACCCGTATCATTTATCAGTCGACGAATGGTACAAAAAAAAACAAACTGCTAATTTTAATAGGAACTTCGTAAAAATTTAATAAATTAGTATTTAATAATTGTATCGCAAATTAAATAATATTTGTTTATAAATAACAGTTTCCTAATAAACCATGATATGATAAGCTTCGCAATGTCAAGGTCGCTAAGTCAATATCGGACGCAATGCCCATTGAATACAGTCGGCTTCATATAGACCGTAACGTCAAGAATGTTAAATATTATCTGTAGACAATATTATGTACACAATCCGAACAAAAAATACCGTTGTAACTTTACAACAAACGTATATCGGCGTGAAAAAGATTCTATATTCAAAATTTACTCTTCGAGACGTTTTATAATTAGAATATGTTACGTAGAGTAAGTAAGCATATTTCAATTATAAAAGTCATAGTAACTTTACAACCAACGTTTATCGGCGTGAATAAGATTCTATATTTAAAATTTACTGTTAGAGACATTTTAAAATTAGAATATGTTTTACGTAAAGTAAGCATACTCCAATTATAAATGACCACAACATAAAAGAAAACTTAAGTAGGTATGTGTACTACATATCCAAATATTTATATCTACATATCACTTTTAAAGAGAAAAATAATTAAATTTGACTGTTACTTTGTACTATTAATATTATTAAGAAAGATTTTTAGTCTGTAACGGAAAAAATCTGTATATTTAAGGAATTTTAAATTCTGTGAAACATTTAAAAATGTACATTATGAACTAATAACATGAGCTATATTAAAACAAATAGGGATAAATCAGTACAATAGATGATAAAATTCAAATAATTGATTTAGAATTGTAATAAGAACAAATATTTTGACAACAATGCCTACTAATGTTTATGAACCCGACTGTACTTTTATCTATACAAAATCTTTTATCATTTTAAATATAGCATTAAAAAAATCAGTTTCATTTATACATGTATATGTATATTTTAACATCATGGTTTATGTAACTATATTGCTGGCTCTTAACTTCATCTGCTCTGTGGCCTTTACAGCTTCACCGAACGATAGAGGGTGCAGATGACACTTGTAATCCGCAGGAGTTAAGGAGCAGCTGAAGGCTAACTACCGCCTGACGAATACGACTCTGGTATGAGGGCACCACTAGGGATTCGCACCTTCGTAACTTCGATCCCCGTTTGAATTCGAAGGGAGATTGATCATATTTCAACTTATATTCAAAATAATGTTTTTATGTATGAGATATATATGGCTATTTTAACATAGTATATTATTATGCATACCATTATAATATAATTTTAATATCATACTGTAGTTTTACAGTATTTTATACTCATAACTACACTAGCTGTTATGCGCAACTTTGTGTACAGAAACTTTCACACATGGTCCTCTCCACCCCTTTTCATCCATGTTTGAGATTATCTTAAAAAATATCTCGAAATGGTTCACCCCTTTAGCTAACAGATAGCTCAGGATCAGATTCAGATGTTTAGTTGTGTAATGGCAACAGATAGATATACATTTATAATATTAGTATTTATATAGTGAGGTGTAATTTTTGCACTTTTATTTCTCAGTGATTATATGATCATATATATTTTCAGTGCAAACCACCATTGCATAAATATTATAACAGACTTATTAACAAACTGACAGAACTACTCCACTTAAGAAATTTTATGCATTTAAACCAAATGTAATAAAAGTAATATAATGTTCAGGCCATGAATAATAAGACTTGAATCACATTCTTAAGAATGACTCAAAAACTTCTGGCTACATCCTGATCTGAATATGTCCCATATTTACTCACAAAGCACCAGCTATAATAATCAAAAAATATTCCCAAAATCGATTTGCATAGAGAAATGTACTAAAGATAACACACAAAAAATACAGTTAAACAGAAAGTCTTCACCTTAAGAGACAGAAAAAAAAATTATGACATAGGAATAGAATATACAATATTGATTTTCTTTAAAAAAAAGGGACTCCAAAAATTAAAAAAACAAATGGGAACAAACTGAAAGTATTCTCATTCTAATAAAAAAAAGTTTTGTCAAATCGTTTTACAAATTATTTCATTATACCCATACAATTTCAATAACTTTCTTAAAACAAAAAGCAACTCCTTAAACTAAAAAACAAATGGGTGCAATCTGAAAGTATACTCTTACTAACAAAAAAATAAACTTTTGTCAAATCATTTTATAATATAATGTTGTTATACCTATACATATAATTTTAATAATTTTCTTAAAGCAAAAAGCTTCTCAAAAAACTAAAAACCAAATGGGAGCAATCTAAAAGTAAACTGTTTCTAATAAAAGAAATTCTCAAAACAGTTTAAAAATTATGTAGTTATGGAGATATAGAACACCTTGAAAAAAAAGCAGCAGAATAAAGAACCTGTTCCTCCTTTCTTGGAGTCAAACAGGCAATTTAACGGTACTCTTTGTTTGTAACTTTTAATAAATTATTATTGAAATATCCTAACAGGTAAACCAAACGTATATATTATGTAATTTGCAGAAAGCATACATATTTCAAAAGTAGAAATTATGTCATAATAAGGAATATATATATTATTTGTAATATTATATAACATTGTGGAATTACTGTATTATAATAATAGTTTTCATTAAATATTACTCACTATATGATTATTTGAATAACGAGCGTGCATGGCAATAGTTGTTGTGCATCGGATTTTCATTTAATGTTGGACATAGAGACCTATATATATAAATTGTAAATAAATTGACTTTTAAAAAATTAAATAAAATATTTAATTGAGTTTCTTACCAATTCTTTTCAGTTGGATCTATATACAGAACTAGATGGTAAGGAAAAAATTAAAATTATAATGTAAAAATTATAATTTTAATTTTTACTTTGACCTTCATAAGCAGCTAATATGTCCTACATGTATGTATTCAACATGATTTTTGAATTTGAATTTATGTAAACAAGGGTTTTTCAAATTTAACTGTATTTTTTGTGTTTCCAAATTTAAATAAAAAAATATTAGTAAGTAGTAATAATTATAATAAAAATTATTGGTAGTAGTTCCAAATTTAAATAAAAAATTATGAGTAGTAAGTAAGTTGGTATGCCCTTTCGGAGATTATATAATTTAATTATAAATAAAATTATTTAACACACACCTCATGCAGAGATACAGAAATATTATCATCTAATAAAAACATGCTTTTAGTTCTGATAACTAGTTTTTGTTCATAGATTTGATCATACAACCATCTATTATTACCTATATATATATATATATATATATAGTTCTTCTGTATTAATATATTAAATTGAACCCTTTACTATCTCTGGTCGAGAACGCCAACAAGCATTAAGTCCGTGTATACAATTTTGTATGTAAAAGAATAAATAAATATAATGATACCAGCCAGTTGTACTCATTGCAATTTAGATTTTATAAATGAACTTGATTTTGCTAGCCACATAAGAGTGCATCAAAGGAAACATTAGGAGTCCCTATTATTGGATTTATGACAAGAAGCACATCATTATTATTATATATATCAAAGTTTATAATAAAACCATATAAAACCTATATTCATACAGACTATTTATAATTGCTAACTTTATGGATAAATTATTATAAAACCTATGTATTTCGGACTACTCTAATGGTGTTGGCAGCAGCTAGTCTTTACAGCTTCACCAGATAATAGGAGGTGAGTGCAGATGGCACTCCAAACCCGCAGGACTTATGGAGCGACTGAAGGACAACTCCCGCCTGACGGATACAACTTTAGTGCAACTTCTGAGGGCACTGCTAGGGGTTCAAACCTTGGCTCAGGTCGTCGCATTTGAATTGGAGGGATCGATCGAAGGGGAAAACCTATGTAACCAATACACATGTTCCCTAGTTGCATTTGGATGTAATAAAATCTAATAAAATCTAGTGCAATCCGATCAATTTCTCAGATATGGTGGAAGAGAAATACAGCTAGTAATTGGTATAATTTGGCTTCAATAAAGTATTTCCAAACTTCAGTACTCATAAATGACACTACTAGATGTGTTTTAATATAATTGTTATGTGGATATTCTTTAATACCCACTTTTTAAGTTTTCTTACTAGTCACTTTTCATTCACAAGTAACTTTTGGCATTGAATTTCTATATTAACATTGAAATTAAGTAACATATCAGAGAATCCATATATTCTGATTCTCAATTGATAAGCCTTCTACATTAACATTGAAATAAGTAGTATACCAGATGTTGCATGTTCAGAATCTCAATTGATAAGTGAATGATTTGTGTTCAAACATACTGTCAATAAACAAGGTGTTATGATAATATCTGTTAGTGATAACATAGATACATTGTACTTTTGTTTATGAATGGCATTTTCAGCAGACCATATTGGCAAATTGTTGTAAAATCAAAACGTTGGATGTAATTAACATAAAAATTGTACATTTCTTTTTCTAAAATAATATCTGTGAGCATTTATACTCATTGACAAATTATAAAATAGGAATTAAAATAAAAACTTATCATTACAAATTCACCCATTCACATCCACACACGAGCGAGCATTAAACATTTTTACATTAAAATATGTAAACATTCACCAAATTAAAGCTTTTGTGTATGAGGTGGCTTGAGTTCGTGGGCACGGCCACCCCAATCCAAACGGTAGCAGCGAGTCCGCCACGAGATTTCCGGACTAAACAACGCCGTGGCCAGGACGAACGGCGCACAGCACTCGCTCCACACCCACCCCAGCAGGAACTGCACTTTGGTGAACGGCGGCGAGCCATTCTGTACCGACCGCAGCATCAACCAGTCCGACAGAAACCACACTAACACATGCACTAAGAAAAACGGTAACGGTTCCGTGCCGAACAGTTGGCCAGCGGCCCACGCGGCGCCGGCCCCGAGCGGCAAACATTCACTGAGCACCTCCAGCATTGTCGTGGTGGGCACCATCGCGATACGCAACCTCGCCCACCGCGTCAGCCGCGCCCGCAGCGCTCCCACTGACCGCGAGCCCGCGTTCTGCAACGCCGGCAACGACGCCACCCGCATCCGCCAGCCACGGGACACTATCGCCTGCGCCATGAAGTAGTCCTCCGCTAAATAGTCGGCGAAGGCCGCGAGACCACCCACCTCGTCTAAAGCCTCCTTTCGCACCAGTGACGACATCCCCACATGACAATTGATGCCTAGGAAATCCGCGCACAGATACATTCTTGCCTGCGCCGTCCCGAAGTACACTTTCTCGTACACCGCCGCGAAACCTTCGGCATCGCACGCAAACGGCATCTGATGCACTATCGCTACGTCGTCACGCATATGCTGCACCATATCCAGTAATGTGTCCTCGCGCATTCGGATGCCAGCGTCACTCACGAGCACGAGCGGATACTTCGCCGCTAAATATGCGGGTTGCATATTATTTATTTTAGGGTTCACTCCTACTCGTTTCCCGCCTTTGAAAAGTTTCACGTCTACATGGGGATATTTCGGTTGAAGCGTCTGTTGTATTAACATCACCGCCGGATCTTCTTCGCTCTCCACACAGAACAGTATCTCATATGATGGATAGTCCAGCGTGAAAAAGGTCTCGAGGTTCGATAACAAGTTCGGGTCGATGCCAGTAAGCGGCTTTATTATTGTTACACCCGTGTATGGGTGTTCAGGCGAAGACCGGTCCACTGTTCTGTATAACTTCCACTTCGAATACGACAGAGCCATTATGTGTATTAACCACAGACACACCCACGCGATCATAAAAAATATGGCAAAACCATACACCGTATATACCATAGGCATCATAATTGTAAATTTGATAAGCGATTACTTCGTTCGGACCACATAATATCGACAAATTTCCGTTGGAACCCGCGAGAAACGTACAACTAGAACGCTAACGTAAGGGAGACTGACTGAATTGACTCGACTCGAATTCAAGTACGTATGTCGAGTAGTTCCAAGGTATGCGCTCTGCTATGTGATTCACCATTTTCTTATCACGTTAGGCATAAGAATGTTGTGTAAAGCAAATTTGAATTGTATACATATCAAGTTCAGTAATTCTAAACGCCCAAGCGGATTCGTACTATACGGTCAGATGAAATGAACAACTAACCGAATCGGTCACGCCACTTCAACAGTCAGTCAGTCTCATTAAAGTCATGAAGTAAATGTCAATCATAGATCAGACAGATTTAAGTCAATCAAGTAGAGACGTAACACCAAATGGACTACCGGTTTAAACTAGTTAGTTTTGATACAGTTGACTACTCTAGTTTTCCCAACCGTAGTCGATAGTTTTAAGGCATTAAAGGCAATGAAGAAACCAATACACTAAATTTGGACTTAAACATACTGCATTATAGAATATGTTATAGCAAAATATATACATTGTACTTCTGTTTATGAATTTGGTTAAGGTAAAGTAGTTTAGAATTTATTAAAAGCATTAAATATCTGAAATAACTATTAGAGTTAATGATAAAATTATGAGTAACAAATTAGGTACATTAGAGATCCCGTAATTGTTCATGCTCGGTATGTATCACTTACAACAGCTCTACAATAATCAGTCGTCACTGTCTTTGTAGCTAAAGTATTGCTTCGTTAAATAAAGTTTGGGCATTTCTCACACAAAAATACTTTTGTGTGATAAATGATGAAGATGAGAATTTAATAAAACAATAAAAAATAATTAATGTTACTACATTGTAACAAAGTAACAATTTAATTTGGAGAATTTTAAAATATTAGTCTTTATTTTAACCATAAATTACGGAAACGAATTATGATATGAAAGATTCTACAGTGAAGTATTCTATCTCATTTGCTCAGTTGCTAATATGACATGAAAAAGAAAAACATGGGACGATGGGATTTATACGATTACTTAATAAAGTATGATTACTGGAAAATGTCCAGTATTTTATGAAACAGATTTTATTAGTTATTTTTATTAAAAAGTCACTAAATAACAAGTTTATGCTTAGTATGCATAGAGTCATTATTTACTATAACTATGTAATATTATATTATCTGTGCTATAACGAAAATGAGGTATGCAGAACTATAATTTCTTTTTATGTTAAAAAAAAATATCATCCGATTTTATAAACTAATATTTTGATAGAAAATAATACTAGCTGTTTGTAAAAAGGAAATTGAATTCCAAAACTGTAAAACAGGAAATTGAATTTCGACAGTGTTGTCCACCGACAAAAATATGCGTGTATTGACTGGCTGCATTTACGATTCGCGGGAAAATAAAATTATTGCAATCAAAAACAATATTTGTTCAGAGTAATTTTAAATAATTTGGTATAATTAAATAATATGGATGTTAATAATTTGTTGAACAATATTAAAAATGTTAACGATTATATTTGTGTGACCCAAGATATTTCTACAAATTTGAAAAACATGAAATCAAAACTCAATATCACTACAGTGACTAATTTGAAAAGAATACGTCTTTTAGAAATCGAGGTATGCTCAATAACTACATGTATTTATATGAGACTTATATTATTATTGTTTATGAAGTTTGTTTTATTCGATTCGATATAAATATTTTTCCAGTACTTCATGGTTTATAACGGTAACGGAGCTGCAATTATTGTAATAGAAGATTTAATGAAATTGCCGTCATCAAAAACATGGAGTCTTCTTAAAAGGGACCTTGTTGCATTGATTTTTTATTGGCTAGATGTTTTACGAAAACATTTGATTGAAATTAGCAGACACTGGCGGCCATTTTTAAACCGTCTTCTAAAATTGATTAAGGTAATTTAATTTTTATAGATTTAAATATTTTTAACCGACTATAAAAATGAGCGGTTTTAAAATATGACTGATTTGTCTCTTACAAAAATATTATCCAGAGGTAAAGCACAGTCGTTTGCGTAGTTTTCGCCTATTTCAGCTTGTTTTTAAGCTCTTTCAGTTGTATGGTGGAGATTAGGCAGTACAATTATAGTATTAGAGGTATGACATCTTTGATCTCTCACATGATGACGTGATGTCTGTAGTGCTGTTCATGTGTACAGGCGACGATTAGAGTTTACCGTAAGGCGGGCCGTCAGCTTGTTTGCCATTTAAAATATTAGATGGTTACCTCTATTTTGATGATTATTATTAAACGGTTCTATTTTGATTTTAAAACCTGATGGTAAATCAGGTTTATTTTTTACGGATTATGGAATGGTGCACGCGCCTGCGCTAACGATTTACGCTGGCGGGGTACTAGTGGAGGATTATAAGATGAGCATGAGGTCGGGTCAGTTAGCCAGTAAATTCGCTACTAATTTATCAAGATGGTTTGCAGGGGAAACCACGTGGACGTCAACCTGAGGTTTTACTGAGGTTGACCACGCTGTTCCCCCTAGAAACCATCGTGATAAATCTTGGTAAATTTGTCACGATGGGCTAACTGACCTGACCTCATCATCACATATTTTCATCCTCCACTGGTGCCCCGCCTGCGTAAACCGTTAGCGCAGGCGAGTGCACCATTCCATTATCAGCAATAAAAGAAAAATAATGTGGTCCTACTTTTATAAACATCTGCTGTGTTAATCATAGCCAGACGTGACCTTTTCAACCTGCATACGTAATATCTGGAATCTAAGAGAGTTGGTGCTAAAGGGTTGGTATGGTGTTGAAGATTTGCAGTTTCCATTCAAATAAGAAGGGTTAGGTGGATTATTAGTAATGGGAACTAGTATCTCCCATTGCTAGCAATGTATCATGTTAAGTCTACATAAACACGGTTCCTCCTGGAATCCATCGTGATGAAATCCTAGTGTAGTTGTCAGGTTGTGCTAACTGACCTACCTTCATGTTCATCTTATCATACTCCACTGGTGCCCCGCCAGCGTAAACCGTTAGCGCATTTCATTATCATATATACATATAAATAAAATTGGACTGTCTGTATGTAATATAACCGTTTTTTCCTACATGCATATGAATATTAATAAGGTACATATACCAAAATATCATTTTTTACAATTTTTGTCTGTCTGTCTCTTTGTTCCAGCTCTCTAAAATGACTGGACCGATTTTAACGGGACTTTTTTTGGCAGGTAGCTGATGTAATAAGGAGTAACTTAGGCTACTTTTATTTTAGAAAAATAAAGTAAAATTTCACGCGGACGAAGTCGCAGCTACAGCTAGTACAAAATAAAATAACATGAGATTTTCAATGTCCAGGCATTAAATCAGAAAGATGCAACATTTCCGGAACTGATTGTGGAGGCGTTAGCGGAGCCTCTTCTAGGCCTGGCCACCAGCGACTTCATCGATGTACTACAGACGCAGGAGATACTGCACACTTTGAACTCATGCTGTGTGGCGTGCAGCAGAGAAGTGCGGATTAAATTGCGGCATAAAGTCGACTGCTATTTGTAAGATTTTAATCTATTTTGATCCTATCCATGAATTACTTTTACACCTTAAGGAGGGGTAGATTTATTTAGGGAGTTTTATCAGGAGGGCCAGGTTGTCAGTTTGTTTATTTATACTAGCGCGCGTCTTTATGATGTACTACCCCTATTTGGACCCAAAGGTGTGTTGGTGTTAGGTACTGTCTGTTGTGCGCGGGACTACGCGGTCTATTTTATAAGATAGTCTGTTGCTAGTGCGTCAAAGCGTTCGGTCTATTGTGATCTTTTGCTATTGTAAATACATATATATTATACATAGAAAACACCCAGACCGACAGAAACAATCATATTATTGAACATTTGCTTGAATAAAAACATTTTCTTTTAATTTTTAATTAAAAATAACATAGTTTGGGGGTGCCCGTTGGTTGTAACCATACTAAGTAGACACTTAAGTAGAGACTTTTGCCAGACGGCAATGAACAGTGCAAGTTATAATACTGTTACGAACAATATGTGAAAAAATTGACTTTCATAATTTAACGAATTTGATATGAAATTTTTTATAACTTTTGTTACCGTTACCTGCCAAAGGAACCACGATCCAGGTTTCATGTGTAGGGATCGTTCTTACCTGTGTTGGGGACACACATACAAGAACTGTCACATTTACTAATAAGACGAATGTCTGGCCGTCGTGGACTCTTGCTCTAAAATCCGGTGCATGACTATTCTTTGCAATGGGACTTGAAAACAGTGAGAGCAGAGTTTCTTCTCAGTTCTTCGTACTTTTCAGGACTGAGGATAGATTTGACTTACCAAACTGTTTGTAATTAAATCGACATGAATAAATATGTTTTTGATTACCTTTTGTAATCCTGTTTAACTAACTAACTCTGTCTGTCTGTCTGTCTGTCTCGCTTTCACGCCAAAAATAGTGAACTGATTTTAATGAAATTTGGTACACAGATAGACTAAAACCTGAGAAAGTAATAGGCTACTTTTTAATCCGAAAAAAGTAGTAAGTAGTTTGTAAGGGGTTGAAAGGGGAGGAAACGTTATATGGAAGTATAGACAACATACCCGGACTAAGACGCGGCCGCATCTAGTTAAACATATGTGAATAAATTTATTTTTGATTACCATTTGTAATTAAACATCGTAACATAGTATAAAATAAAGTCGCTGTCGCTGTCTGTCCTGTTTATGTTTAAATCTTTAAAACTATGCAACGGATTTTGAAGCGTTTTTTTTAATAGATGTAGTGATTCTAAATGACGGTTTATAAAAAAAAGCAGGGGCGAGTAGCTTGATATTTTTTATTTACCTTTCCGTTTGACGTATTTGCCAGCCCCAAATTGTCTTCTCGCATGGCTGCGTGTGGTCATCTACCAACCCAGTACAGCATGCTGGAGACACTGCTCCGCTGGTTGTTACCGCGGGATAATATGACTGTGAAGCTTGCGGCCGCCGCCGATTGGTTCCCGAAGGATACCTATCAAAAAGCCACAGTGGATTTGTTCTTGCAGAGACCTTGGCAGAACTTTTTTCAGGTATTTTTGATGTTTATTTTTTTGTAACCAGTATTATCTATATCTCTTCTAATATACAAATATAATTCTTGTGTAAAAGTGTTTGTAACTCCTCCGAAACTATTTATTTCGTCAATATTTTTATGACTAGCAGTTCCCGTGACTTCGTCCGCTTGTAATTTAACTTTATTTTTCTAAAATAAAACTATCCTAAGTTACTCCTTATTATATCAGTTACCTGCCAAAAAAGTCAAAATAAGTTCAGCCATTTCAGAGATTAGCCGGAACAAACAGACAGACAAACAAAAATTGTAAAAAATGTTATTTTGGTATGTGTACCGTATTTATATTCTATGCATGTAGTAAAAAACGGTTAATTCAATATTACAAACAGACAGTCCAATTTTATTTATATGTATAGATTAGGCATAAAAAATACATAGGTACAACAATTTTCACCCTTCTATCAAAATCTGTTTTTTTTTTTCAATAAACGTTTGCCGAGTCATCTAGTACTAATATAAAAATATTGTATTTGGATAAATTCAATAATACTTGAATGGTTTTTTTTCTTTGCATTATTCTAATAGTAATCCATATTAATATTGCCCGTTTATTTGTTAACTTTTCGTAAACGGGTGTACGGATATTGATGAAATTTCACAAAAAGACAGATGATTATTATTTATATATAGACGTGTGTAAGTGCGTTTATTTCTTTTAATAAATAGGAATTTTAAACTTCCATTTTTTTTTTATTTTAGGACGCACGAGATTTTCTGAACTCGCACAATGTGACTGGTGATCGAGTAACTTCGGTCGTATGTCGGAAAATGTCTGTAGGTGAACAAGTCGTAGTATCCGTAAGTATTTTTATGTAAAACTAGCTACTTACCCCGGCTTCGCACGGATGTACATGTGTTATATATATAAACCTTCCTATATCTATTAAAAAAAAACAACTTCAAACTCCGTTGCGTAGTTTTAAAGATTTAAGCATACATAGGGAGTAATAGGGACAGACAGCGACAGCCAGTTTATTTTATACTATGTAATGATATAAATTAAGTACCATCCCGATTTTGCAGAAACTTTTTGTCACTCACAACCACATTGTGGACGGTGGTACGAATGTAAGCGACTGATAACCTGATGGTATGTGGTAACCGTCACCTATGTATATGAACGGTACCATGAGTCATCTGACGCCTTTAGTTTCACTGCTGTATCTCACTCACTCATCCTTTAAACAAAATAGCTTTCAAAGCAATCTGTTAGGCAGTAGAAATAGGTGAAATAAAGGTACCCAACTACCCACGCAGGGGATTTTGTACGAACTGTACCTAGGTTTTACCATCCAGAAACTACGTCACATATACTGAGGGGGTCAGAGGGAGTCGAAAAAGTGTGACATTGTGGGATAAGCAGCAGGAAAGGGTCCCCGGTTACGTGACGTCATCTCTGAGTATTAAAACAGGATTTACTACACAAAAAACTGAAAAATATTTCTAATTCATCAACTAGTTTATTAGTGGTTTACAAAATTTGTGTCGCACACTAGTGAGGCTCTCTAGTGTGCGTCACATATTTTGCTAACCATCTAGTGAGGGGGCTCTAGTGTACGTCACATATTTAGCAATCCACTACTAAACAATTAGAAGACTTCGAAATATTTTAAACATTTTAAGTCTCACAAATGCACAGGGATCAAGTACCATGAACGTTGTGTGACGTAATTGGTGGCTAGCCCCTAATGTGTTATGTTATTTTTACACAGGGAGATGACAAACGCGATACTTGGTTAGATGTCAACGCTGCCACCAAAAGCATTTCCCTTCTAATGGATTTACGCATGATGGAAGCACTGGGTCGTTTTGAACAACCCATGTGCGAGACGTTGATTATTTTTGAGGATGAAGTGGAAAGTGTCATCATTTTCAAGTAGGTTTTTTTGTTTAAATTATTGTTTTATGTTATTGGATTGACATATAAACTGACTAAACATCGACTAAAAAAAAGTATTTCAGTATGTATATTAGTTGCTCAGTACATACCACAAGCTCTGATTAGCTTGGGACTAGATGGCGCTGTGTTATTTTTATTGGACTTAGCTGGCCTTTCGCAGCTTCACCCTCGTCGGGTGAAGCTGTAAAGGCCAGCTGCGGCTTTTTTTTCTGACTACTCTAATGCTGTTGGCAGCAGCTAGCCTTTACAGCTTCACCGGATGATAGGCGAGTGCAGATGACAGTGCAAACCCATGGAGGAACTTATGGAGCGGCTGAAGGCCAACTCCCGCCTGACAGATATGATTTTAGTCTGATGGCACCGCTAGGGATTCGAACCTCGGTTCAAGCCGTCGTAGTTTTGATCCCCGTTTGAATTGGACGGGGGATGATCGGAAGGGAGCGCTGTGTAATCTATGATTATTAATACATCAGGCAGTCAATAGAAGTGACAATATCAATAAGGATGGTCAACCCTCCGAGTATACACCCGTCAGAGGTAGCTCTAAACGGGCAGGATGTGAAGATTGTGATGAAATCCGACAGCGACCTAAGAAGATTCAATAAAGCACTGCAATACGTGTTTGCAAGAAAATATGAAGTAAGTTGGATATCCATTTTGTTTTATTGATAACTAACTGTACCCGCGACTTCGTCCGCGTGGAATTTAACTTTATTTTTCTAAAATAAAAATAGCCTAAGTTACTCCTTATTACATCAGCTACCTTCTAAAAAAAGTCTCGTCAAAATAGGTCCAGCCATTTCAGAGATTAGCCAGAACAAACAGACAGACAGACAAAAAATTATAAAAAATGTTATTTTGTAACACGCCAATTTTATTTAATGTATAGATAATAACTATCCTTGGATATTAAATTCCAGGCTTGTTACCTTAATTTACTTATATACTACAGAATATAGGAGTAGGTACTTTAATACTAGGGATTATACATTTAATGTATAGGATTATTCAAGGTTTAGGTTTATTTTATTGTCACATGTTGAGAGGAGACGAGGTTTTTTTTTATGAATGATAATAGAATGATGCACCCGCCTGCGCTAACGGTTTACGCTGGCGGGGCACCAGTGGAGGATGATAAGATGAGCATGAGGTCAGGTCAGTTGGCCCATCGTGACAAATTCATCAGAAATTTATCACGATGGTTTCCAGGGGGAACCGCGTGGAGGTCAACCTGACATGGTACATTGCTAGTAATGGCTTATGAGTCCACATTACTAACAATCCCCTTCCCCCGACGCGAGGTTGATAATGGGGTATAGGTCGATAATTGGGAAAAAGTGGATAATGGGGAAAAAGTCGATAATGCGCGAAGGTCGATAATGGGGAGAGGTCGATAATGGAGCGAGGTCGATAATGCGGGAAGGTCGATAATGGGGAGAGGTCGATAATGGAGCGAGGTCGATAATGCGGGAAGGTCGATAATGGGGAGAGTCGATAATGGAGCGAGGTCGATAATGCGGGAAGGTCGATAATGGAGCGAGGTCGATAATGCGGGAAAGTCGATAATGGAGCGAGGTCGATAATGCGGGAAGGTCGATAATGGAGCGAGGTGGATAATGCGGGAAGGTCAGTAATGGAGCGAGGTCGATAATGCGGGAAGGTCGATAATGGAGCGAGGTCGATAATCGGGGGAGAGGTCGTCGATAATGGGAGGAGAGATCGATAATGAGGGGGATAAAATAAATAAAATAAATTACTAACAATCCCTTCCCCTAAATTTGTAGATGTTGATTGACATAGCGTCGATGCAGTCAGCCCCACGGCGCAACCGTGACAAGTCGCCTGTAGTCATCGATAATTCTGTAAGTCTATTTTTTTTATTGAGTATGTTTTTGTAACTCTTTTAACTTTTGCGTTTGCGTTTTCGGGTTACGCTCGCTTCAGCAGTATGTTAAATGTTTTGGAAGTGTTTTATTTGTTTAGTTTATATATCTAGACACGCGGTAGCGTGTCAAGCCGAGTTTCAAGTAAACTGGCAAGCAGCACCGTGTGTATATTTACACGAACCATTTGGAGCCACTTTTGACCTCCTCATAACTCAACAACTCTTTCACAAAAACCTGTCAAATTTGGTTCATATATTGAGACTTGCGAGATAAATATGTGTTCCAAATTTCATAAACATATCTCAAACGGTTATTTAGATATTAATGTCCAAAAATCGTCATTTTTATCACTGATCAACTATAGATCAAAATTATAACCCACTTCCAGATGACCTAGGAAGTTCAAATTTGGCATGCAGATAGGTAATTAGGTGAATATAAAGGAAAAAATCTGAAACTGGTAAATTGTTATCATTTTACTACAATTTTTCACTTTAATTGATTCTATTTCAACTTATACTGGACGAATACTAAAATTCTATGAAAAGGTCGATAGCCACCAATTGACATTGATCCCTGGCGAAATATCTCATCTTGTACTGGACGGAAACTAATATTGTATGAAAACGTCGATCATTACCAATTTACGTTGACCCCTTCACATCAGTGTCGATAACTAGCAAACTTCAAATATTGCATTGGGCGGTAAACACTAGTTGCTATAATTTAGATTCTGTCTAAAATATACTCGTACTTATAACTAGGAGTATAGTCGAATTTCGTATTTATTATGTTATTAACTGAGATTTGGTATTAATTATTGTTTCAATATTTAGCGTACATCGATAGTGTAAAATCATTATTTTTATAAATAATTATTAAATAATAGGCATATCGGTATAGACGCCGCGGCGCCGTGTGGGAGCGGTGCGATAAAACGTTGAACTAACCTATAAGGTTGGTATTTATGCTACGAAATTCATAGTTTTCTTAAATTATACGTATATATTTGTCGTTATATTATTATTACATTATTTTAGTAAATACGTATGGTGATGACAACGAATGACAATAGTTTAAACCAAAAATTTATAATAATTTTAGTATAGTTATAAGTAGGAATGTATAGTTAACTCGAGAATGAGAACTCATTGGTAACATATTGTTTTCTTGAGAATTCAGTAGATAACAGTCAATTTGTTACATAATCGTCTTTACGAACTATAACGTGTCAATACCAAGTTTCAGATATTAAATAATGTATATGTCGACAGAGAACAATTCCGTATTTGCTTAACATATGCTATCCACAAATCACAAGGCCTTAGTTTTGACAGTCCTCTTCTCAACATAGGCTCCTCTACATTTAATAAAGGGCAGGTTTATGTACGTTGGACTCTCCAGAGTTAAAACCTTAGATGGAGTACGTCTTAACAATTTAGATCCAAGTCACGAGAGCTCTATTGTAGAGTACAACCATCTGTGGACGTTATACCGCCCCGATGATTTGCCCAAAAATTCCTGATACTGAATTGGCATTGCACTTAAACATTTAAAAGTTACAAGAAAATATAGAAAATAACACAAAAAAAGACAATTATACCCCGTAAATATACGAAAATACAGTAATTTATCAAAAATAATTTGGTATTAATTTAGTTATAAATAAGTACCTCGTATAATTTATGTACAAAAAGTAATGATATCCCATCAAAAACATAAATGTGAAATGATAGCCGAGTTTAATATTATGATATATGCCTTGATTGTTGACTTCTTCGCAAGTTCTAAACATGTTACTTGTCGGTTCCTATTTTAATATTAGTAGTAACTAGCAATCGAAAGTAATAATTTAGATCTCATCTCTTTTGTCGTAGAAGTCAACAATCAAGGCATATATCATAATATTAAACTCGGCTATCATTTCACATTTATGTTTTTGATGGGATATATTTTACGATGGTATGTCTTTGTTTACGAGTTCATAATCTTGTTATAGTTTTTGTCCGTTCATTCATATCCGCGTATAAACATTAACCTTATTATTATAACTTATATATCTAATATTTTATATATTATATATATTATACCATTTTTGAATTTTATATATTGTACCATCTATTTTTTAAGTATTTGTAATGCAAACCAGTATAATAACCTTTAATCATCATCATCATCATTATCAATATTCATTCTTCATTTTTATTCTCAGTCATCATTCTACCTTCCTTCATCATTCATTCTTCAGTCATCATTCATTCATCATCCATCATTCATTCTTCATTCATCATTCATTCATCATTCATTCTTTCATCATTCATTCATCATCATTCATTCTTCATTCATCAATCATCATTCATTATTAATCATTCATTCATCATTCATTCATCATTCATTCATCATTCATTCATCATTCATTCATCATTCATTCATCATTCATTCATCATTCATTCATCTTTCATCATTCATTCATCATTCATTCATCTTTCATCATTCATTCATCATTCATTCTTCATTCATCATTCATTCTTCATTCTTTCATCGGTCATTCATCATTCATTCTTCATTCATCAATCGTCATTCATTCTTTCATCATTCAATCATCATTCAATCATCATTCATCATTCATTCATCATTCATTCATCATTCATTCATCATTCATTCATCATTCATTCGTCATTCATTCGTCATTCATTCATCACTCATTCGTCATTCATTCGTCATTCATTCGTCATTCATTCATCACTCATTCATCATTCATTCATCATTCATTCATCATTCATTCATCATTTATTCATCATTCATTCATCATTCATCCATCATTCATCCATCATTCATCATTCAGTCATCATACATCATTCATTCATCGTTCATTCTTTCATCATTCAGTCATTCATCATTCAGTCATCATTCATCATTCATTCATCGTTCATTCTTTCATCATTCATTATTCATTCATCATTCATCATTCATTCATCATTTATCATTCATTCATCATTCATCATTCATTCATCATTCATTCATCATTCATTCATCATTCATTCATCATTCATTCATCATTCATTCATCATTCATTCGTCATTCATTCGTCATTCATTCATCACTCATTCGTCATTCATTCGTCATTCATTCATCACTCATTCATCATTCATTCATCATTCATTCATCATTCATTCATCATTCACCATTCATTCATCATTCATTCATCATTCATTCATCATTCACTCATCATTCATCATTCATTCATCATTCATCATTCAGTCATTCATCATTCATTCTTCATTCATCATTCATTCATCATTCATTCTTCATTATTCGTCATTCATTCGTCATTCATTCATCACTCATTCATCATTCATTCATCATTCTTTCATCATTCAATCATCATTCAATCATCATTCAATCATCATTCATTCGTCATTCATTCGTCATTTATTCGTCATTCATTCATCACTCATTCATCATTCATTCATCATTCATTCATCATTCATTCATCATTCATTCATCATTCATTCGGTTGGTATTTATGCTACGAAATTCATAGTTTTCTTAAATTATACGTATATATTTGTCGTTATATTATTATTACATTATTTTAGTAAATACGTATGGTGATGACAACGAATGACAATAGTTTAAACCAAAAATTTATAATAATTTTAGTATAGTTATAAGTAGGAATGTATAGTTAACTCGAGAATGAGAACTCATTGGTAACATATTGTTTTCTTGAGAATTCAGTAGATAACAGTCAATTTGTTACATAATCGTCTTTACGAACTATAACGTGTCAATACCAAGTTTCAGATATTAAATAATGTATATGTCGACAGAGAACAATTCCGTATTTGCTTAACATATGCTATCCACAAATCACAAGGCCTTAGTTTTGACAGTCCTCTTCTCAACATAGGCTCCTCTACATTTAATAAAGGGCAGGTTTATGTACGTTGGACTCTCCAGAGTTAAAACCTTAGATGGAGTACGTCTTAACAATTTAGATCCAAGTCACGAGAGCTCTATTGTAGAGTACAACCATCTGTGGACGTTATACCGCCCCGATGATTTGCCCAAAAATTCCTGATACTGAATTGGCATTGCACTTAAACATTTAAAAGTTACAAGAAAATATAGAAAATAACACAAAAAAAGACAATTATACCCCGTAAATATACGAAAATACAGTAATTTATCAAAAATAATTTGGTATTAATTTAGTTATAAATAAGTACCTCGTATAATTTTTGTACAAAAAGTAATGATATCCCATCAAAAACATAAATGTGAAATGATAGCCGAGTTTAATATTATGATATATGCCTTGATTGTTGACTTCTTCGCAAGTTCTAAACATGTTACTTGTCGGTTCCTATTTTAATATTAGTAGTAACTAGCAATCGAAAGTAATAATTTAGATCTCATCTCTTTTGTCGTAGAAGTCAACAATCAAGGCATATATCATAATATTAAACTCGGCTATCATTTCACATTTATGTTTTTGATGGGATACTATAGCTACTCGCCCCGATTCGCCCGGGTGTACATGTATTATACATATAAACGTTCCTATTGAATCACTATCTATTAAAAAAACGGCTTCAAAATCCGTTGTTTAGTTTTAAAGATTTAATGCATACATAGGGACGGACAAACAGCGACAGCGACTTTGTTTTATACTATGTAATGATTTGTTAATACTAATAGTTATTTATATACTTCGACTGCTATCCCAGATACTAATACAAATAATTGGATACATTTTTTTCGTAAATACATTCATAATACAGAGCAATGAATTATAAGGTTTACATTGTACGAGGAATCGGACCAACTACCATCGTAAGGCAGTGCTAAATCTGCATGTTGCATCTACACAAATAAATAAAATTGTAGTGTCCGTTTGTAATATCGACAGCTGTTGGAACTAGCTGATCCACGCGACTTCGTCTGCATTATGTATTGTATGCGGTAAAAATATTGTTAGTCCTATAGAGGGTAGTCAGAAAATTATAAATGTCAGTGATATTATTTAGTGTTGCATAGTAATGTTCTTCTTTTTTTAAATAATCTTACATTTGATCTTCCGTGATAGGTATGATATTATTTTTATATTTAAATAGTTTTAAAGAATGTAATCAGTGGATACAATGTTTCTCATACTATATCTGAGTAATATTATAAATGCGATAGTTTGTGAGTATGATTAGATAGATGGTGTTTGTTGCTTGTTCACGCAAAAATACTGAACGGATTCTGATGAAACTTTACAATAATATGGCTTATACATCAGAATAATACATAGGCTGCCAATTTTAAGTGAAACCGCGGGCACAGTTTAGACTATCTGTGTATCAAATTTCGTTTAAATCGGTCTAGTATTTTAGCATGAAAGCGAGACAGACTATCAGAGTTACTTTCGCATTTATAATACTAGCCGTGCCCGCGTGATATTTATAGCCTGTGTTATTCTCATGTATAAGCTGTATTATTGTAGTTTCATTAAGATCCATTTAGTAGTTATTAAGTCAAAGAATAACAAACATCCATCGTGGGGAAAGGGGATTGTTAGTAATGTGAATTGACCTCCTATTGCCATGTCAGGTTGACCTCCACGTGGTTCCCTCTGAAAACCATCGTGATAAGTTCTTGGTGAATATGCCACGATGGGCTAACTGACCTGAACCTCATGCTCATGTTATCATCCTCCACTGGTGCCCCGCCAGCGTAAACCGTTTTCATTGTCATCCATAAAAAAAAAACAAACATCCATCCACACTCAGAAACTTGAACGTTTATAATATTAGTAAGATTAGTAAGGATATGACTTCAAAATCTTCCGTCTGGTGAATGATAATGAATAAAGTATATGTTTTTTTTTTATTTAGGTGGAGGAGGCTGCGGTACTGTCCCAAACAGCTAAAGTTAAAAGGCGCAGACATTCAGGTAACTATTAGCGTTGCCAGACGTCCCGTATTTCCCGCGACGTCCCGTATTTTAGGCTGTTTTAAATGTCCCGGCGGGACTGACTCTGTCCCGTATTCGAATAGTGCTTCGTTTTTTATTATTGAATCGATCGATCTACGCTAGGCAAAAATATACACGCACGCAATGATCGTACCCCTAATTTAATAAAAAAAAGTGTTGATGACCATTTTTAATTACGATTATAATTATGTTAAACATATAAAAATCAATACAACCAATAAAAAATATGTTAAAACTGACTTCCTACTCAGAAAAATGTATAAAAAAAATAAAGCATGTCACTATATAATTTTATTTGTTCTGAGTAAAAAACTAAATTCCCGTATTTTTTTTTTACTAAATAACATAAATAATTATAAAAATTGTAATTCCTAGGCGTTATAGTGAGACACAGGCCGTGTAAGTCACCATCGACGGTATCTACCACATCGCTTCTACAGGTCAGAAACATTAAAATGTATTTAAAATATTTACTAAACATTTTCATTTATAATATATCAATACATGACAATAATACACACAGATAGAGTCATATGGGCTCACATGATCTAGTTCTGACCTGACGGCCCGTATCGAGAAAGAAAGATCCAAAGAGCGGGGAATGGCAACTAATGCGCCAATCGAACGGTGTTGTCGGCACTTGTCGTTGGGTTAGATATTAATAGAGCCCATTCTTTGCAGTATTATTTAGCATTGTTTATTTTACATATTCAACGATAGTATATGCATATTGCATGCCGTGTTCGCCTATAAACAATTGTGCATTTAGACCACGACCCGTTACATGTAATTAAATAAATTGTATGATTGTAACAATTGTTGGCGATACTAAATAAAATTTAAAAAAATGTAATAAATACTAGATATTACTCTTCGTCTTCTTTCTGATTATTTTTTTTAAATAAAAGAGTTATTGTCATTATTGTTACAGAAACTATATGCACGTCAAATTTCATTAAGACCTGATCAGTATTTTCGTTTGTAAAGATAATAAACAGACAGACAGATACGTAGACACCCTTTCGTATTATTATATTTGTAGGTTTAGGTTTATAAAGTAACTACTAATAATCCTCAAACTTGTTACAGCTTCGCGAGAAACTATCTCACTTGCCCACCTATAGATATGAGAACGAGCTTTTCAAAGTAAGCGCTTTCCCTGAACTGTCCAGTGTCAGTGAATTAACCGAAGACGGGGAAAGTTTTTCTAGCACAAAAAAATATCGCCCTTGTGGCATAGGTCATAAGAGTTATCGTAATTTAGAGAAGAACTCGCAAAGTGACGGAGAGCGAAATAATTCAAGAAAATGTGTATCTCCTTTACCAGATGATGAACATTCAGTAAGTTGCTTATTAGTAGCCACTATAGGGACTGATGAAGGTGTCATCAATGACACCGTTGAACGATTATCGAAAAGAAAAGATTATAAAGACAATAATATTGTAGATTTACTTGTTCAAGAGGCTTTGCAAATTAATAACGTAATATTAGATAGTGGTATAAATACAAACGACAATAGAAAAACACAAAATGAACAAGATGCTATAAAAAATGTCGATGCAATAGAAAATACTCCTGAATTTACAGAAAATGTATCTGTATTCGATAAAAATAATGATAAACAACTTATAATATTATCGCCTACTGACGATTCGAATGAAATACAAGAGACGCCATTAAATTACGTAAGTACGAGACGAAAAAAACCATTGACTAGTAATTATAACAAAAATGAGCATGTAGGAAGTACTGAAAATGGAAAAGAAATGCAAATTATTGACGAAGAAGCAGTTGATGAATTCTTTGCGAAACATATGAAAGAGAGAGATGGGAATATTCTAGTAAGTCCTACGCTAGCTAGAAAAATTAATGAAACTAGTTCAGAAGGTAGCAATGATGCTTTAAATGCTGACTATATTGTTAATGATAATACTACGAACTTCGTAGTCAATAGTATGGAAATAATTGATTGTTTAAATTGCATTCTGGATAAAGTATGTGATGATTTAGAGAAGGGTATAATTAACCAGGACAGTGATGAATATGTATTGAAGTCCATGAATTGTAAATCGGACCGAAATGATCCTTTACATGATCTAAGTAATATAGAAAAAGAAAATACTGTTACACCTAAGAAAACAGGATCGAAGTCGAAGACAAATATTAAACTTACTTTTGGTACTAAAAGAGATAAGATAAGTAATGTACGAGCGATAAAGAATGGAATGAAAATAAATTGTGCTAAAAAAATGTCTCCTATTCCAGAAATAAAAGATATAGCAGAGGTACAAGTACTCGAAGAAAGAATAGATATCCCAATGTCTGAAATTGTGACAAGACTAACTCCACCCAGAGCTAGCGACTTTGATATGCCATTGATACGTAGAAAACGTAAGCTTTATTCTCCTAAAGAAGAAGAAACTGATATAGAAAAGCCAAAAAGTCAAATAGAACAACCACTAACACACATTTTAGACAGCAAAGCTAAAAACAATACTAAAACTAGAAATTTAAATAAAAATAAAACAAGCTTTATGTCTGCTTGCTATAAGGAAATCGAAAATGAGCGAAAAAAAAGTATTCGCCAGACTTTTTTGAGGAAATGCAGATCCAAGAAAGTACGAACACCTTCTCCTAAAACCCAAAAAATGAATGCACTTTTTGATAAACTAAAAAAAGACGTGAATAATGAAGACATAATTATAGCGGATGAAAAATTTATTGATAGAGATTTTGCAGTATACAATTTCACAAGTGATAGTGAAGATGAGAATTTCATAAAGAAAAAAACTGACTTAAAAAAGCGTGTTAGTTCAACTACAATTGCAAGCGATTCTACGGTATCTCGCCATGGAAAGTTAACGAACTCTTCTAGTGGTGCTATAAAAAAATCTAAGAAATTAGAAAAGAAAATAGTCAAACGTAAAATAGATCGGAAAGCTTGCGATTTAGCTGACGAAAAAATGAGAGAAGCTGGTGTTGAAACTCTCGATACGTCGTTTGTATTAGACAAATCCCTTAAAGTTAGTAAAGAGCCAGAATTTCTAATAAAAGTTGCTCCTCAGATGGAAGTAATAACTGATGATGAAGTTACTAAACCTAGTAAAACTTTACCACCGAGGAAAGTAAAAAAAAGCAAGAAATGTGACATGTCATTAAAAAACGAAAATTATGCAAAGAAATCTAATGCAGAACAAACCACTTTAATAACTAGTGACGACAGAACTTCCAGCCCACTGCCAGGATTGGTAGTTGAAACAGTGGCAGCTCATAAGGGTGACGCTGATGATTCGGTAACTACACAAATGATTACGAAATTTAAGAAAATATATGAAGAAGGTCCAGAATGTCTCGTAAGGGATGAGACAAATACAACTCAGAACTTATTGGATGCAGAAAATACAAGTTACAACCCTTGTCTAAATATTACGGATGATTTAATTGAGATCGACTTCACTTCTACTTTGAATGTTAAATCTATACCAATTAATAATATAAATGAAAAAGTATCATACACCGATCCGAAAAACGTCAATAACGAAATGAAAGAAAAGAAAACATTCAGCTCAAGTATAAAAACAAATCGAGACGTAATTAACCCAAAAAAATTACAGCCTAAACTAAAAATAATAAAAACAGTAGAATACAGGAATTGTGTTGAAATAGAGAGTAATGCTGATGCAAAGTCGGAAAAATCTATTGCGACAATAGGAAATAATCCCATAACAGGACATGGTGATTCTGACGAAGCTCCTCCTAATGCAGAAGAACTAACACGAAACGTAGACTCTAGAAATTTAGAATTAGAAGACTTGGATCAATCCATGAAAGAATATTATCTTGAGCTGCGTAATGAGTTATCTGCATCGGCTTATAATGATTCTAGACGATCTGAGTCAAAAGGAACTCAGGCTGCGATTACAATCAATGACTGTAAAAAGTCGGAAACTAATAAATCTCCAGTAGTGTCCGTGAAACGATTGTCATTGGATGACATATCTAAATGGTTGCCTTCGCGGAGAAATTCTTCAGAAACTTCCATCTCTACGTATAAAGTTCCATCTCCTGCTAAAAAACCGCTTCCAACCAAATTAAAAGTGTTTAAATCTACTCATTCAATTTTACATGAGCGACTAACTAAATCAAAAACACAGATTGAAAAGACTGTGGATATTGATGATAAAATAGAAACTAGTACGAAGTCTCCAGCGTCCGTGAAACGACTATCTCCAACAAAATCGAAAACTGAAATTAATTTAGATAAGTCAATTTCATCAGTAGAATGCAATAAAATAAATAATATAACAGAGAATAAATATAGATCTATTATATCGCCTATAAGACTTTTCGACGAATGGAAAAATGATAAATTTCTGGCAAACAGTCATTCAAAAATTGTAACAGTTGATATACATAATGCTCCGTCTTCCTTCGAGGTTGTACCGGGCAATGAATCTAATTCTTCTGTAAATTCCATTTCTACATATAAACTCGCACCTACTTGTAAACCTACACTTGCAATAAAACCGAAGGCATCTAAATCTAAGCGTTTAAAGTTACAAGAACGCAAGATTACGTCAAAAACTGGAAAAGCTTTCGTTACTGATGATGAATCACTGACTAGTACAAACTCTCCAGTAGTATCTGTGAAACGATTGTCTTATGATGACATTTGTAAATGGTTGCCATTGAGAAATAATTCATCATCAACTATTTTACAACAAAACACCATAAAGAAAACAAAGCAACATGAAAAGGAACCATCTGACATTAATTTAGACAATTCACTTTCGTCAGAAGAAAGTAACAAATTGAAAAGTATTACGGACAATAATTATAGATCTATTATATCACCTATAAAAACGTTCGATGAATGGAAAAATGATAAATCATTAACAAATACACAATCAAAACTTGAAATTAAACAGTCAAATGCGTTAAAAGACGAAAAAAGATATAATCTAAGGAAAGCCAAAGGTCGTGATAAAAATTATAAACCTGTAATTTCGAGTAAAGATTCTAAAATTAGTACATCGACAAAAGCCGATATTATTAATGGATCAGATACAAATGTTTTAAAAAGAAAACCGAACAGTTCAGTAAGCGATAATTCAAAGAAAAGAAGAATTGAAACATCTGTTTTGTCAGAATGTCCAACTGTTTCGAGTGTCAATGACTGGCTTACGAGTAATGCTCTCACTAACACAGGTAAGATTTTATTTTAGTCAGTATTAGATTTGATAATTTATTCGATACTTTTCGGACTACTCTAACGCTGTTGGCCGCAGCTGGGATTTACAGTTTCACCGAACGATAGGGAAATAGAAATAATCTTTATTCAAATAAACTTAATATAAGTACTTTTGAATAGTCAAGTTTTTTTATTCTACCGCTTATTCGGAATGTAGATTCATCACAAGAAGAATAAGCAAGAAACTTGTGTGTTGCTCTTTTAAACAAATGTTGTTTTACTTATATTTAATTAAGAACAAGGATTAGGCATGCGACAATCAACATAAAAACCGCTACGCACTTAATCTCTGTTCAATGAATAATAAGAAAAACAGCAAATAGAACTGTAATAACAAAAGTCTTAATTCAATAAGCAATTTCTTACTTATGATGTTTTTTGTTTACAATTTTTTCGTGGTTTTCAGCTGACAGTACATCTCTATCATGTATAGATAGCATTCAGACTGTAATGGAAAAGCTCGACACAACATTGCAAGAAATACATCAGAGCACAAGCAAGAAGTAAGATTTTCAATACTGTAAACTCAAATTCAACAGCTAATAATTTTGAACCTAGGTAGACATGTTCAAAGTCTGCGTGGGTACCTCAGTCTCACCTATTTTGTTGTCTAGCAGATTGCTTTATAATTAAACACAGTTCGGTTGAAGAGGAGAAATAATCCAGTGAAATTACATGTTAATAAGTGTCATCACATTTTAGTTCTCCGGAACGGCAACGCATGAGTGGTATAATGGGTTAGGGGTCGTCCATTAATCACGTGATCTTTTAAATATTTTATGACCCTCCCTTCCCGGGAGGACTCATGACCCCATTACTAGCAATGTATGGTACATTGGTAGTAGTCAGGTTGACCTCCACGCGGTTCCCCCTGGAAACCATCGTGATAAATTTCTGGTAAATATGTCACGATGGGCTAACTGACCTGACCTCATGTTCATCTGATCATCCTACACTGGTGCCCCGTCAGCGTAAACCGTTAACGTAGGCGGGTGCACCATACCATTATTATCCATAAAAAACCCTCCCTCCCCCTTGGTGATACGTGGTGAGGTTTAAAACTCCCCCCTCACCCACTCAACATCACGTGTATTTTTAGTACCTTCAAACAATCTTAATTTTTTTACAATATTACCTTTAAATACAAGTATAAAGTATAATCTTATTTTATTCTGAAATTAAGGACCATGATAAAAATGTCTAGACAGGAAGGTTGCAGATTGTTTTTGATTGGCATAAAATAAATACACGTGATGTCTTACCAGGCCCCCCCCCCACCCCCTTGTGATATTTCGTGATTTTTGTCAACCCCTCCCCCCTCCCAAGCATCACGTGATTAATGGATGGCCCCTTACATGATAAATTGATCTCCGTGTTGCTATTCATGTATATAGGCGCCGCAGCGACGGTTACCTCTTGCTATGAAGTGCTGAAATAGCAAACAAGCTGACGGGCCGTGAATTTGTTTGCCGTACCAATAGATATATAAAAATATAGGCGACAAAACTGCGACTACCGAACAGTCATCACTAGGTTTTCAAAGTATAACCAAATACAACACGAGCCGTAAATAACAGTCAGAATTTGATCCCCAATGGTAATCACTTACCGTTAGGTTAGATTATGCCGCAGACTCATTTGTCCCCTACACTATAAAAATTTGTTACGGTTCTTGAATTTCGAAATATTGGAGCGTTTGCAACAGCGTCGAAATACCAGGAGTAAATAATTATATCTCGTACACAAAAAATAATATCAATAAATTCTAAATGCAGGTTCGTCCATATGTTTGTCGAAGTTCAAAAACAGATGTGTGAAGAGAAAGTTAAAAGAGAAGAGCTTTATAAAGGATATATGCTAACGTTGGAAATGATCAAGAACATCATTGACTCGCTTGCAGACATGAAGAAAAGGTTATACTTACACCATATTAACTAATTTTTATATCAAATTTTAGACTTTATAAAAGATGCTCTATTTCAGCCGAAAAACAGCTTGCTTTGTAAGCTGTGTATCGATTGTAGGGTATAGACTAACCAATGAAGATACTGGAAAATTCGAGAACCTTCGAGTCCTCGTGGGAAATTGCCACTTGTCAAGATGGACTAACGGACTGTTGTGTTGTTACTTTATAGGCTGCAAGACATACAAGAAAATGATGACATGTTCGTGGACCAACTGAAGCAACGTGCCGCCAACTTGATACGGGAAGACTGCAAACAGAAAAGAATTATGGTCACGTTATTAAGAGAAGACTTACAAGCACTTATGAACCAAATGAAAAAGTAAATATAGTACGTACTTTATCGTTTCTAATAACTGTTAACCCGGCCTCACATTATTAGGTTCATGAGTCCAAAGATAGCTTGATAGATTCAAATAGGTACCTTGTAGCCTTTAATAACAGTTAACTCGGCCTCACATTATTATTTTCACGTGCCCAAAAACGGCGGGGCGTAGTTTCATAACAATTAACCCGATCTTCCTTTACTAGGTTCAAATGTCCAAAGAGAACGGGGCGTAGGTTCAAATGTGCCAATATAACGTTAGTCACATCAGAAGGAAAATCGAAATGAACTTATATGATGCCAGATTTACATTTGAAATCCGATATCCAACTTTCCGTTAGAATAGGCACACATTATTAGGTTTTAATCAGACGACCTGTGTCGATAACGTTGTACGACTTTCAGAGAGGGCGAGCCATAGCAATGCAATGTTGTGTCAGAACCTGATAATGTGAGCCTACTCCTATATGTTCTAGTGATTATCCGGATTTCAATCGAATTCCAATCACATAAGAAAATTGTTGATAAGTGTAATTTGTTGTTGTTTTGAATAAACATTGTAATATGTATTAAACCCCAGAAAGATATGGTAACATAATCTAATAAAATATCATATGCGAGCGAGGTAAGTTATCTTTCTAGATAATATACTTAATAATGAATTACGTACTTACGTACTGTTTTGTTAACGTTCTATTATTCGGATTTTTTTATTATCCGTATGCTTTGACATTTTTAGTCAAGTTAATTGAATCTTCACTGATTCAGTGAAGACTTTTATCGTAAAACAGATAGTTTAAATACTGCAAGTCTAAGTCTTAATGCGCTAACACATTAATAGGATCCGTCGGTCATTCTTTCGTGCATTTTTAAAGAGAGCGTGATGTAGTAATTAACGTGGCAATCGAACGGGAATCGTCGCCACGACACGTTCAACAGAGCATAATAAGGCTGGCCTCATATTTCCGGTAAAAATCGACGAACCGTATCGAGTATACCGTTGGTTTGGTGCATTGGTTATTACGTTTCAGCACTGTTTTCTGAAACTAAACCTAATATGTGAGCGCCCTTATACATAAATATATCAAATATTTAGTAAATCTATTTTAATTATAGCACTGTTTTTGTCCTTTTCTTTCAACCTATTGATTTCATTTGAAAGAAAATGACACTGTAATAGATAAAATAGGTTTGTAATATTCAGTTCTAATGATTAAGGAAATGAGAGTACATAATAGAACACATATAAGTTATTCATACTTTGGTATATAAAATATATAATTGTTATGTTATGCTACAAATTTTAGTAATTAATTTTTTGAATCTATAATTTCGGTTTCAGTCTTTGATTTAATTTTATGAATGCTGAATTGATTTTTTTAATAACTGAAGCCAGTGTATTTTTCTCAATTTTAATAAATTAAAAACTGATTTTTAATATAGGTAGTATAAAAAAAATATTTATAACATTTGTTATTAAGATAAATATATTATTTTAAATATTAATTGTTGTCATGTTGCATGGTCAAGAAAAAAATGAGTTCTTTTAAGTCGCACAGTAGTGTTTTGTGCAAAATGTTATGATTTTTATTTATGATGATGTTAAAGATGTTATATTCTATTATTTTTCGTTCAAATATGTAATTCCATAGTTAATTTTAGTTGGTTTGTACCAATATTGAATTAGAATAAGTGATAATTGTTTTATTTTTATCTAATTATTAAATTAAATTTATATGAAATTATATGCTCTATGTTGTTTTCCATTCCATGCAATGATAAACAGATTTTTTCATATATCTTAATAATGTATGTTTTTTTATAAAGATTTTTCCAATCTAAGTCAACCCCAAGCAACTTGTGACCTGTTTCTGGTTGATGGGTGAGATATGTCAGTGAGATTACAGAATAATGTAGTCAAATAAGGTCGGTTTTATGTTTAAAACGTTTCGACGAGGTACAGCTTTGGTCTGACCCGATAATAGACGTGAAAGTTTAAAAGAAACTTTTGCTTCGAAGTCAAACTTTGCTTGTCAAACTCTGCCTCTTGCAATAACAAGACAATATCTTTTTTAAAACAATATATTTGTAAAATAATTTATTTTCGTAATACACTTAAATTACTATACAACATAATCTACATTTAAAGACTTATCATAGAAATGGTTCAACAGTCACCATCTCGCAATATAATTATTTACTCGACAAAACCCCGTGTCAGAATGGGGCTAAAACCTTCGAATTGCCTATTTTAAATTCGTCGTATTTAAATAATAGTTTTTCAAAATTTGATTTCAAAACTTGTATTATGGGAACTAGACAACTGATACAAAAACTTAACAGTTTTTTTATAAATACATACATAATATACGAAGAAAACACCCAACCGATACAAGAAATCATACTTATACATACAAATGTTTGCGTCGTGCGGGGCATCGAACCCACGACCATGAGAAGTAAGGCTATTAGTTAAACCGATTATATCTAGGCTATGAATCCTGCACTCCCCATATTACGTCTCTGGACAATGTACCAATAAAACAGCACTAATGTGTGTTGGGGAATGTTAAATGTACAATTTTTTTTCTTACTCCCAATTATCCAGATGTTTTAATATCCCATGATAATTAGTCTGGTAAGTAAAAAAATGCCACTAGAGTACTTGGCGTTTTTCTGTGTCAAATATTATGGACATTCTATACTATCGTTTGGAAAACAATCCTATTTGTTTTATGAGGATTCACTACTTAAGTTAGCAAAATCGTCGATTAAACAGAATGTATATATATGAATTTTAATTTATCAATATAGAGATTTAGTTTGCTATCAAAATACTTTAATCCAGCAATACCCATCATGAGTAAAATTGAGAAAAATTTAAAGAATACCCAAATTGTAATGTAATTAGATATTAAATACAACAGTACAAGAAATAAAGATAAAAATAATTTCTAATTAATCATTAAAAGATATAGAAAACTTGAAAATACTTGAAACAGCAAAAAAAATATACTTGTTCAAATGTTTTTGATAATTGGCAAGACTTGAGAGCTTGAAATCAATCTACGTTAAAAAATTTAAAACTTGCTCAAATATTTTTGATATATGGCAAATTTTTCGAGACTACGGTAGTGAAAGCTCCTGATTTTAATGTTTACAGTTGTTACTTATGATTGTACTATGATTCTTCTTGACTATTGGCAACTTGAGCTAGGAACACCTGCTGGGGTTGGTGCTGATGCTGCGCCTGTGATGACACCTGGAAAATATATTTTAATATCTTAGTATTGGGACAGTTATGTGGAATAAGAACCCCATTGCTAGCAATGTGTGGTACATTCTGTAGTTCCACAGGGTTCCTCTTGGAAACTATGTTGTTAAATTCCTAATGAATTTACCACGATGTGCTAACTGACCTGACCTCATAATCAACAATCCTCCACTGGTGCCCCGCTAGCGTATATCGTTAGCGCAAGCGAGCGCACCACTATTATCATGCCTAAAAAAAAATAGCATTTTTAATGGGCGACGATAGGATTAGCATGATTGGACAGACTTAGCCCAGTAGTTAGCGTGTTTATCAGCAATCAATAATAATAATAATAAAAACTTTATTGTGCATAAAAAAACAAATAATTACAAAAAAGAAAGAAAGAAAAATATGCGAACAAAAGGCGGCGTTATCGCTCAAAGCGATCTCTTACAGACAACCTGGGAGATAAAAGTATTGGGTGAGGGAAAGGTAGGTGGCGCACTATAAAAAGAGAGTTAAATATTATATGAATACTAAATACATATACATACAAATATTTAAGGTATATAGAATATATAAAAAAAATATATAACGCAACAAAACATTAAAGAAATTAACTACAATGACTTCCATAAGACAGTCAACCTGAAATAGTACATGGCTAGCTATGGGGTTAATTTCCGCTATAATTCAGGCATTATTTTAAGGAAGCATATTTCATTGGTTCCTTTCACACTCCGAAATTCCAAACTAAGCGCATCTAATAAAGTGAACGGCTTGGCTGAATTAGGAATGACTAAGATTTTTCGATTTTCTATGAATTCTACTTCGGCGATTTTTTTTATAAAACTCCAGTATCTACTATCTACATACCTGTATGATCTGTGGCGACTGTTGCGGCTGGCCTTGTATTATAATTGGTTGATTGGGATTGTTTTGTATCTGTAGCCGGATCATATTTAGTTGTGCTTGTGTCAGCTGGATCTGTAATAAATATACATTTAAGATTAAGATAAAAGTAATACGGGCTCAATATAGAATTAGGTCTGTTACCGGTGTTGTTTACACCAGGTCACATGTAGAGCGGAGCGCGTTTATTCTTAAAAACTCGGCTTGACCGATTGGAATTTTTTTAAATGGTAAAGATGGAGGCCTGATGGTTATTTTCGATGAAATTTTGGTCTATATCGATCAAGCCATTTCTTTTATTGACAAAGTGTGCAAATCTGATCACTAAGATCGCTCCGTGCTTTGCACTCTGTTCAATTAGTATAAGATGGTCCATATTAGAAATATCCTATACATTTTTTTATTTCAGGGTTTGGGACTTGGGCTGTTGTGAGTTGTAGCATTGCGACCTGCAGAGCAGCAGCATATCTATTGTGCTGTTTTTCAAAGTTACTAGGCTAGCTGCCTAGCTGCCTAGCCTACCTAAACTCATCAGGGATAAGAATCCAAGGATTTTTATGTCCTCAAGATAGAGTGTATACTTTCCAAAGAAGATATTTCTTTTACGCATGAATGGGCTACAACCACATAGGATGCATAGTGGCGTTTTCTCTTCAGCTTGGCAAAATGTGCAGATTGTTAAGTTAAGCCTAGTTTTGCTATGTATTTATTCAATTTGCAGTGTCCAGTGAGAGCCCTAGTCATGATGCATATATTGTTTTTACTCAATATCAATAGTCTATTGGAGCCAGTTATTTGGGCTTTTGAATGTACTAATTCTGGCATATTGTACCGTGATTCAGTGCTGTTTGGTTATTAGTTTGAGATGGATTTGCGGTAGATTAAAAAATGTAATGACTATTCAAAAGTGCTTCAATGTGAGTTTATTTGAATAAATGATTTTCTATTCTATTCTATTCTATTCTATTCTAGATGTCTTAGTGTTAGACAACGAGGTACGCCACAGAAGGCTTCAGGGCCCTGTTGGGCGATTTTTGCCCAACTTTGCCAGTTGGTAAACATTTTTATTGTCTTTTTGTTTTGTTTGTAAGTTTCAGTGCCCGGGGACCCATCTCAGTATAATTTGTCTGCTTCTTACATCATATATAACTATATATGAATGAATAAGTGTATTATTTATTTAAAACAAAACAACTGACCGGCAACTGCTGCAGTTCCCCAGAAGGCGTTAACACCTGCTGCACCAGAGTCACAGGTTGTGGTGGACTCACCACATTGTTGGACGATGTGCCCGCGCTTGAACTCTGCAAATAAACAGATTAATACATCATTTTCAAAAATTTTGGTTTTTTAAAAAGTTATTATGTAAATTGGGCGAAATATAATGATAAATGCCAGGTCATGTGTGAGTGATTCGAGAAAACTATGCCATATCTTACATTTTTTATTATTTGTATATTTTAATAGTTCACTCACTGGTTGTTTAAAATTTGCTTTGGTTGTTACGCGAGGCCCCGGGTGATTGCCTGTGCTGCCCTGTTCATCACCCCCTACACCCCCGCCGACACTCCATCTATCCATTCATATTCACAAACTTCCGCGTTTATAATATTAATATAAATAAGATTAAGATAATATAATATTAATAAAATACTTAGTCAGTACTAAGGTACTGACCTGTACAATCTGTGCACACGGCTGTATGACGATCTGTGGCTGCGTGGTGCCCTGTAGCGCCGCCTGATGCTGCTGCGCCAACTGCAGGTAGTACTGTCCACACTCAATACGTCATAAACACAATACATATTTATTTACCACTAGCTGACCCCGCAAACATTGTTTTACCATATAAATTAAAACCGCTATTAAAAATACGGGTTGACGGTAGAAGGGTGAAAATTTAGTTACATGTATTTTTAATGCTACAGTATATAAAAAAAATGTCCAAAAAATAAATGCAAGGGGCAACCCTTATCACTTAGGGGTACGAAACATAGATATAGATAGTAGCCTGAATACGCATATAAGATTTCATAAAAATCGGTCAAGCTGTTTCGGAGGAGTATGGTAACTAACATTGTAATACGAGAATTTTATATATTAGAAGATGTTTTACGGCTCTGGATAAAAGTCCTTATATTGTGTCAAAAATTATGAAATCATAAATTAAATAGGTACTAATAATGTCCGGTGGCAAGGGTAGTAATGTGGACTGATGATCTTATTGCTAGCAATGTACCATGTCAGGTTGACATCCACGCGGTTCCTCCTGGAAACCATCGTGATAAATTCCTAGTCAATTTGTCACGACAGGCCAACTGACCTGATATCATTCTCATCTTATCATGCTCCACTAGTGCCCCGCCAGCGGAAACCGTTAGCGCAGGCCGGTGTATCATTCCATTATAATCCATAAAAAAACCATAGTTAGGGGGGGAAAAGAGGTTGTTAGTAATATGAACTAATTACTCCATCGCTAGCAATATACCAAGTCCACTTGACCTCCACGTGGTTTCCCGCGAAAACCATCGTAATAAATTCCTGCTGAATTTGTTATAATGGGCCAACTGACCTTACCTTATGCGCATCCTATCATCTTGGTGCCCCACCAGCGTAAACCGTTAGCGCAGGCGGGTGCATAAATCCATTATTATTAACAAAATGTAAAGTATATAATAGTTTATATATAACTGATTACTTGCCCCGGCTTCGCACTCGTGTGTACATGTATTATATATATAAACCTTCCTCTTGAATCACTCTATCTATTAAACAAGAAACTTTAAATTCCGTTGCGTAGTTTTAAAGATTTAAGCATACATAGGGATGGACAGACAGCGACAGCGACTTTTTTTTATACTATGTACTGATGAAGTCTGTTACCTGATCAGTAGATGGGCTTGGTCTGGGCGGATCTTCTCGCGGTTTGTTCGGCTTCACCTCGTGCCGCGGTACGATGTCGATCAGGAAATCGAACTGGTCGGACTTGGATATCGCCATTGCTATGTCGTTCCGCTAAAAAATAATACAACATTTTTATATAACTACCATGATGTATCACTTTACGTTCTGTGAGAATCGCTGACAAAATTTCACCAAGAAATTATCACGATGGTTTGTTTCCAGGAGGAACCAGGAGGAGGTCAACCGGATATGATACATTGCTAGCAATAAGATCATCAGTCCACATTACTAACAATCCCCATGATTAAGTAATAGTAATAATAATAAAGTTTCTTCTTCTTTTTATTCTGATGTATAAGTTAATTACTGTAAAGTTTCATTAAAATCCGTTCAGTAGTTTTTGTGTGAAAGAGTAACAAATATCCATACATACTCACAAACTTTCGCGTATATAATATTAGTAAATATATCTGTTTTATAATTTTTTTATTTAATGAACTAAATCCTTTGAGTATCTCTGCACTCCCTAATACTGATAGAGAATGCTAATAGCATTAAGCCGGCCTATTGTTCAATTTAACAGTTTAAATGTATACATACAAAATTGGAGTGTCTGTATGTAATATTGAAATAACAGTTTTTTACTACATGCATATTAATATAATACAGTACATACACAAAAATCAGATTTTTTATAATTTTTGTCCGTCTGTGTGGGTGTTCCAGCTAATCTCTGAAAAGGCTGGACCGATTTTGACGGAACTTTTATTGGCAGGTAGCTAATGTAATAAGGAGTAACTTAGGCTACTTTTATTTTAGAAAAATAAAGTAAAATTCCACGCGGACGGAGTCGCGGGTACAGCTAGTAAAATATATAAAAATTAAAATTCCGACCGTTATTGAATCTACATCCATATTGGGTCCACGTTTCTGGTTATTTCTTACCTGCAATGTTCTCCGCTTGTTGTCTTCTGTGTGCGACCAGGCCCTCAGCGTGAGCTCATGAATAAAGATCTCAGCTGCTTTGGCGAACAGTACTGGCGCTTCTGCGGATATCATCTTTACTTCTTCATCCAATTTCATTATCTTCTTTATTCGTGCTAGAGGAAGCGCTTGCATTTTGAAGTCTTCCTGGTAATAAACATCAAATAAAATTTAACTAAAACGTTTATTGAGGTGGTTATTCTAAAAGGTGGATTGGGAATTGACGGCCTTGGTGGTTTAACGGTTTAGCACATTGCCTTACATATGACGGTCGCGGGTTCGATTCCTCGCACGGTAAAATACTTGTATTCATGATGATTGTTTGTATAGGTCTGGGTGTTTTCTATGTATAATATGTATGTATTTACAAAAAAATATATATGGCTATGTATTTGTATCACTAATTTTCGTAAAAAGGGCCGTGGTTAATTTACTTGATTTATATAAAAGGAGGCAATTCTAGTTTTTTGAAAAATGTATTATGTCTATTTAATCGACAACATATAATATATAAACCTTCCTCTTGATCACTCCATCTATTGCTATAAACTGCATTAAAATCCGTTGCGTAGTTTAAAAGATCTAAGCAACCAGACAGCGAAATATACTTCATTTTATATTCTATGTAAAGGTAAAGATTAAACAAAACACTTACTGTGGTAACTTTCTTAATATCCTCAGTGACTTTCAACCAGAACTGCTGTAGATTGAGTTGCGCATTCTCCGCGGGGGCCGCCTCCTCGCCACCTTCCGTTTCCACCTCCTCAGCCACGCCTGATGCGCCACCCTGATCACTGTCCACAAAATAACCTCAGAATTAATTTATTTACTAGCTGTACCCGCAACTTCGTCCGCGTGGAATTTAACTTTATTTTCTAAAACAAAAGTAGCCTAAGTTGGTCATTACATCAGCTTGCCAAAAAAAGTCCCGTCAAAATCGGTCCAACCATTTCAGAGATTAGCCGGAGCAAACAGGCAGACAGACAAAAATTGTAAAAATGTTATTTTGGTGTATATGTACCATATTTATATTCATATGCGTGTAGTAAAAACGGTTATTTCAATATTACGAGCAGACACTTCAATTTTATTTATATGTGGATAAAACTAGCTTTATAGCTACAACTCCACAAGTTTGAACCTATGGCGACGTGGTTGCCCGGATAAATGAGCTCCTACTAATACGGTGGAATGCAATGATGGTTCATTCGTCATACTAGTAGACGGGCGCTGCTTGTGAGGACTGGTTTGTTTGGTTACGGCCATTGATTGCACTATTTCCTTTTTACAAAATTGCAATAGCATATGCTGGCGGTCATTCTTTGAATTTAAAAATGAACTTGTTTTTGTTAAACATGTAAGTAGTTACACACACGAGCCACAAGCTCATTTAAGTAAAAAGAATAAGAGCTGAGTTTCTGCTCAGTTTGTCTTAGCTCGACAGCAGCTTCTAACGGTCCATTTGAAGGGGGAAGGGGATTGTTAGTAATGTGGATTAGGGGATTGTTAGTAATGTGGATTAATAACGCCACTGCTAGCAATGTACCATGTCAGGTGATCAATTGCTAGCAATGTACCATGTCAGGTGATCAATTGCTAGCAATGTACCATGTCAGGTGATCAATTGCTAGCAATGTACCATGTCAGGTGATCAATTGCTAGCAATGTACCATGTCAGGTGATCAATTGCTAGCAATGTACCATGTCAGGTGATCAATTGCTAGCAATGTACCATGTCAGGTGATCAATTGCTAGCAATGTACCATGTCAGGTGATCCATTGCTAGCAATGTACCATGTCAGGTGATCAATTGCTAGCAATGTACCATGTCAGGTGATCAATTGCTAGCAATGTACCATGTCATGTGATCCATTGCTAGCAATGTACCATGTCAGGTGATCAATTGCTAGCAATGTACCATGTCAGGTGATCCATTGCTAGCAATGTACCATGTCAGGTGATCAATTGCTAGCAATGTATGTATATATATAAGAAGAGTATGCTCAGATATGACGACTGATAGAGAGCAGTGGAAGAGAATTACATACAGCGCCGACCACAAATAACACGATAAAGGCAAGGCAATGATGATGATGAGTTTTTAAGTTTTTGTACTTTATGTTGGGCTAAAAATGACTTGTATCCAGAGCCGTAAAATATTAAGAAATAAAAAAAAAGTAAAGAAAAAATATAACTACTAATATAGGATACTTTCAGTTTGTTTATTTTTTATGTAATTATATTATTATATGTATTCATAAAAAAAATATTTTTAAGTTTATCTATATCTGTCTCAATGGTTTACTATCATTATAACACAAGCTCTGCTTAGCTTGGGACTAGATGGTGCTGCGTGTTTAAATGTTCGTGCGTGTTTGTGAGCGTGTGCGTGTGCGTGTTTGTGTGTGCGTGCGTATGTTTGTGTGTGGGCGTGCGTGTGTGCGTGTGAAGGACTTATGGAGCGATTAAAGATCAACTCCTACCTATATGAGCGACATTTCCATAAAGTGGGCCATCAGTTTTCTTTTGCCTCTCTTTACAAAAATTACAAAAATACCCTCTAAATAAAAAAAAACAAATCTTAGTCGATGTCATTGTTATTTTGCAGTTGTAGATAGTTACCTGTGTACTTATAAAGCTAAGTGGGGAACGTATTGTTATTAGTATGTATTCATTGATAACCGATTTTAACAGCGATGATCACAATCTGTAACGTCAAGGGGTTCCTCAGCTTCATGTATTTCAGCGGCTAAACCGCTTTCTCCATGTCCATAATAGTATGTAATATCTTATCTGTGGTAATAGCAACGCATAAATACATACTATAGACGCTCCATGATGAAGTCATGATCACTTATCATCGGTTTGTCTTTCCAATTACATAAAATAATTAATCCATCACTACTAATAAATTGATAATGATTATATGAACGTGTGTAGCCCCCCTTATAACTTATTTACGTAATTGAAAACAACAACAACGTGTAATACCTATACTAAGTGTACCGGCTCGCATTTGACGAATTTACTGATATTTGACTGCTTGCCCGTTTATACGAGTAACATTTATATTTTATACTATTTATTCTATTATAATACAAAACATCAACAAAATAATAATAAACGTTGTAAGTAAAAAACAATGTTATTTACATTGGTCCAAACAAACGGAGACAAAACCGGGTAAATGCGTTGTATTGTATATTTGTCTATAGTTGGAATGGTTGAAAGGTTATAAAGCAAAGATGTAAAAAAGACAGCAAGTAAATACAGAATCATTATTAAATAATTACATTTTTTCACAATTAATCATCGCTGCTGCTGATAAAAGGTGTTACTTATCAATTGGATTTATATATTGGAACGGCAACTTACGCAGGCACAAAGAAGCATACAGACATCTTGAATTTTATGTACACAGAACGGCAACGTCGCACTTATGAAATTGTTTTTCACTTTTTACACAATATAAATTTTGTTGTTTCGGAAAAAGAAATTATTATCCGCGGCCAAAGTTTAATAAAACACAGTAACCAATAATCAGTGTAATATTTGGGGATCTCCAATCACCAATTACAGAAAATGCGCCGCTTCCACGATTCGTCCACCGATGACCAGTCACAAGCTTTACGTTTCATTTTAGTGTTACCATCTAATTATTTACAAATATCTACTTAACTTTATTTAACATAAACAATCAACTTGACAAGTCAACAAGACTTTAAATAAAATATTCATGTTACCTGATTATTAAATTTTTCTCTAATAATTGATTTTGTCTAATATAACACTAAAAATGTAGCTTAAGTGTAATACTTTGATTAAGTTTTTTTTTCTTAAATGAAACCCTATTTTTTAATATTCAAACTTTTGATAAACTCCTAATTAGTTAATACAATCTTAGTAAATAGTCGATAATTTTTTTTGTATTAAACTGAACAAAATTCCTTATTACTTCATTTCAATTACACTGGCAATAGTAAACGGAAATAAGACATTATTAAAAAACAAATAAAAAAGAAGTGCCTAAATCTCAGTGGAAACCATAGATAGAGCAGGAAACAGAGCTTTATCATTCATTTCATTCAGTACTGATATTTGACGTTCGTTGGTGACGTCATCATAGTCGGGTCAGCGTCTGCTAAAATGGCGGCTACCGAAATACAAATAGTTAATCAATCTAATTTAGCTAAAATTGAAAGGTAAATAGCAGGTTTATCTATTCATAATTAGAATTATAAAAGTTCTGATCTTTTATTAAATTAATTCGATACTTTACAAGTGTATATCTGTTACTTGGTTGTGTGTTTATACTGGCAATGTTTCGTTGGATTTCAGTTTTCTCCATGACCCGAGTTATAAGGAGATTATCGAAAATTCTTCAACATTTAATTCACGACTATGTGCCGAAAGAAGGATGCGTATGCCATTTATCGATACTCAAACCGGTAAGTGTGTATTGATTTTTGACACCATTTTCTTCGACTCCGATGTAGCTTAGGTGTACTACCATAAATACATATCATAGATATTAATGATTTAGTCACCCTTTTAGCCGCCTGACTGAAATAAATGCGAAAGAGTTTGTTATGATTTCTCCCTTAAGAGTGGGCTCACAAAAACAAAGTGACCCTACGCTCCGTGTCGACGACGCCGCTCGAATGGCTTTCCTAAGAGGGCGGGGTGTATCAACTAATTTCATTTTATGAGGTCACTAATCTGTTGAATCGACTTATTTTTTTAATGGTACATCCATTAAAAAAATAAATCGATTTAAATAAATGGGATAAGGAAGAAGCAGATGATGATAATGGAATGTTGCCTCCGACTGCGCTAACGGTATACCCTGGCGGGGCACCATTGAATGACAATAGGATGAGTATGTAGTCAGGCCAATTAACCCATTATAACAAACTCCTTAGGAACTTCTCATGATGGTTATCAGGGGAAACCTGATTGCATTGAGTTTATTAATCCAGATTACTAACAATCCCCTTTCCCGAAATCAATTGGTTAATTCAGTAAAGACCTTTGAGATTGTTATAAGTTACTTTTTCTTGAGAAAAACTTATTGAAGGGCAAGGGTAATGGTGAATTTGCATTTGTAATTGATAAGTATTATTTTATCTGATATCAACTGACAACCAGAATTGGTTAACAAAAACCATTAATACAAATGAAGCTAGGTGGAAACCTTGTTGTCTTGGTATCTCTATTCCTATTTTGTGCACAATGGCTCAAATGAGATGCATCTTAGTAGCCTAACTAACGAGATGCATGAAACTAATAAGATGAGATGCATCTTATAATCTTACAGAAACAAAGTCTAACATACAATAATATTGGGTGTCCCTGGGTTCATCACCAACAATGAAATTCACAAAGAACTTGGCATGCTAATGAGAGCCTCAGTTCCAAAACAAAATAAAAAAAGTACCTTAGTAACCACCAAATTCAACTGGCTGCTCAACTATTAGAATAACACTACCCTAAGCAACTAAAAATAAACAACATTATGTAATGTTTCACAGACTTCGTAACAAGCATATCCTCCCACTGTGGTGGACATTCCATTTCAGTTCCCACACTCAAAAGATCCCATAGTTCCAGGACTGATTGCAGATAGGAATACATATATTTACTGGAATAGGAAATAAAAGAAAGAAAATAGTAACTATTGTCTATTTATATGAACAGCACCAAATACTTCATGTCTTCTTCATGTGATGTCTATCGCACCTCATTCATTGTCATTCTTGATGAATATTGTGTCATGTCTCCATACCTTGTCATTACGGGGTCAGCCATCTTGAGGGAAACCAGTCCTATGCTAAACTGGTCTAATTTAGCACTCAATCTTATAGCATCTCATTAAGTAATGCAGTAATTCTTGTGTTTAGGTGTCGCACAAAGTCATTGCAATTTGTTTATGACAAGAAAACAGAGGATGCCTGGAGCAAGAGAGGGCCAGGTGTACACATATCCAGCACAGAGGTAACTTTTTAAAAGAGGAGGAGTTTCTCAATTTGATTGTATTAGTTATTAAATGGAAATAGAAATAATCTTTATTAACGTAGCGGTATCTGTGGTTTCAATTTCAAAAGTTTTCTGACTCCATTTTTTATAATGATTTTATAATGGGTAAAGAAGACAATCCGGCTCGAAGGACCAAAAGTATTGTGGTTATTGTTTAAAACAAAATTTTAAGCTTCATTAAATGTCTCGATAAGTAATAAGGTCGCGCGCATGTTGCATAAAACTGCTGACAATTATATGTATAGTTGTACTGTACAATATGGTTATTATTATTAATTGATGATAATTAAATGGTGCTCCATCTTGCGCTAATGGCATACGCTAACGGGGCACTGAAGGATGATAATTAAAGTATGAGGTCAGGTCAGTTAGGCCATAATGGGAAATGCACCAAAAACTTAACATGATGGTTTCCAGGATGTCAACCAGGCATGGTACATCGCTAGGAAAGGAGTTATTAATCCACATTAGTAACAAACCTCTTCCTCCCCATGATTATTAATCATATACAACTTGTTACCTCAGATGGCGCAAATCTCGCCGCCAATATTTAACAATGTCGTCCACACGATGGGGCTGGAGTGGAGCAGATAATTTAGCAGACCACACTGGCGATGGAGACAACAGTTCCGGCATCCCTGGCGATATTCTTGGTGGCGAAGACAGTCGTGATGGGTCACAAACTGCCGCTAAAGATGATCCAAAGGTGAATTTTAAATGTTCAATATTCAGAATTGTTATTCTCGGATCTGAGGTGGTGTAGGTGTAGGTTTATTATCAAATGTCGATGTGAAAAACTTAATAGATATAGTACATATTGATAAATGAATGGTATATCTAAAGGCAATGGAGTTTCTAATTTACAGTTAACTAGCTTTTGCCCGCGGCTTCGCTCGCGTTAATTTATCCCCTTAGGGGTGGAATTTAACAAAATCCTTTCTTAGGGGATGCCTACGTCATAGAAGTTTTATGCATGCAAAGTTTCCCGATCGATATAAAATTGACAAAGTTTCATACAAACTTTCATCCCCTATTTTATCCCCTTGGGGGTAGAATTAATCAAAATCCTTTCTTAGCGGATGCTTACGTCATAACATCTACCTGCATGCCAAATTTCAGCCCGATCCCTCCAGTGTTTTGGGCTGTGCGTTGATAGATCACTATGTCAGTCACCTATAAGTTATAGATATTCAATAAAAACTTACTGTAATTGTTATTATAGTAAGATTTATTTGAATTTTTTTTGTTATTTAATTTATAATTAAAAAAAAAATATTAGCATTCTACAATCCATCCATCTCTTTTAAAGGATAAGTGTGCGAAATTTCATACTCTTCTTCTGAATTTCCGTAAAAGGGGTACAAAGTTATTGCTTCACTCATCACTTATTAATATAATGATAATTGTTGCAGGAATGGTTCTATGATGAACTAGCAATAGAAGAAATGGAAACAGGAGAGGAGCCCGATCCGGAGTCAGATGAGGATTATTATGATGATACATACGCTAACAGACGCAAGCGGCGTGGAGGAGCGACACCCACAGGACCGGGCAGCCGCGGTGGTAGGACCAGAAAGTCACAACCTGATGACACTCCTGCTAAAAGAGGCCGTGCGGTATGTATCTCTGAGATAAACTAAAAAGCCTGTGTGTGAGTGCCTCAGTCTCACCTATTTCAGGCGTCAAACAGCCTGCTTTTTAAGCTATGTTCCGATCTATGTTCAGATGAGTAGAAGTTTCAAATGGTAAGCCACTCTAGATGACAACATTACAGAACAGATTTGCTCATAGTCTTGGGACTGATTGCAAATATACTCGGAGAAAAAAAAATGTTCCGGTCGTAGCATGTGAAAGTAGCAGGATAAGAGTCCTCAGTATGAAAATATAATGTGGTTATAATTTATTAATATTATAAATGCAAAAGTACGTGATTAGATGGATAGTTATTACTCTTTGACGCAAAAATTACTGAACGGATTTTGATGAAACTTTACAGTAATATGGCTTATACATCAGAATAACATATAGGCTATAAATTTAACGCGGGTGAAACCGCATGCACAGCTAGTGTTAAATAAATCTATTTATAATGTTAAATAAACTTTGGTTCATTTAACATCAACTTAACATCTTGCTGTATTTTTTACCAGACGATTGATTGGTAACAGAAACTAATTGGTGGTGCAAATATCTTTATATAGTGTAAAATGGAGACTCTTCCGCTGTCTGTTCGGAATACAGTTTAAGGAATACACAGTTATTCAAGAGGAAGGTTTATATATATATTGTACTAGTACACAGTAAATAAAATTAACAGGACATAAATCTCATATTCTTTTGTACATACAAAAAAATATGAGATGATATTTATGAATTTAATTATTATAATTTTTTTATTATATTTGAGATTTACTTAAATTATTAGATTTAATATAGGCGGCAGTATTAGTAATAGTTAAATGTAAATTTTTCAGGGTCGAGGCCGTAAACGCGCCGGCCAAGGTACCTTACCTTACGAAGTGCCCGGCGACGCAGAGAAACCATTCGGCTGCGAACGTAAGTCCACGAGGCGACGACATTAGTGCCTCACAACTCAGCTCAGGTCCTATATAGGCAGCTAGAAAATTATATTGAGATGCGATACGATCAGAGACTGTCTGACAAGTATTTTAAAAAATATAAATGGCAGAGACAAAAATAATTGCTTTGGACTTATATAACTTGATTTCTTTAGCATTTTTAGTCACATGATGTATTTTAGCATTTCAAAACCTCCGCCCTTCTCTTTTCCACCATTTTGTCAAAAGATGTGAGGTCTCGCACTAAAATATCAGAAAGAAAAGAAAGAAAATCAGGTGTATTTTTAGTACCTACAAAGAATCTTAAATCGAAAAAATCTTAAATCTAAAATCGAAAAAGTGCATTCTAATTTTATTCTATACAAATCAACCGTCACACTACACGTTGCTCTGTGGTTTATAAATCACCGTTTGGCGAAAATATAAATACACATGATATTTTACATTTACATTACACTCCCCTCCCCACTTGTGATATTCTTGAGGGTTTTAACGATATATATCACAAGGTTTTGGTAACAGAATTTATTTGTTTGCACTTTTTAAATTGAATTACAAATATACCATAGAGAAATTGAATGAAAAATGTATGAATACAATTTTTTTAAAACTCCAGTTGTCTATGGCCGTATGGTGTACGATGTATTGTTTATTGGAAAACAAGTTTGAAATGCTAATCTAAAGCTAATCTTGTGCTAGTTTAATGCATTATTAATCTCAATTGATTATTGTTTAATTTCAAATGAAATTATTTTCGAGCGTAGTAATATTTTTTATCACAATTTTTATCAAAATTAACTGGTTCGACTTGATGTATTCTTACTTATTTTAACACAAAATTACTTTTGTCGAATATATAAAAAAAAACTATTATTAATATTTAATTATAATTCTCGTGAGGGTATAATCGTTTTGACCTGTATACTAAAGAAATTATATTATCATATATTATATACTTTTCGGGCAGTCTCAATCTATGTATTTCAAATGTATAGTAAGAAAAAAAAGGTTTAGGGCAAATATTTTTTGGCAAAAGATACCTATTCATCTTATTTTCAGCTCATGATATATTCCAATGAGATTTAAAACAATATTATAATCAAGAATACACAGTGGCTTAACAATAAAATAGAATACATAAAATACAAGCTGGGTAGTATACCACGGGATCTGTTTTGGAGCGGTTGGGGGTTTCAGGATAAGAGGCATGATACCTTTCTCTGAAATGCATGAAGATGCCACAAGTATTACATGATAATGTGATGTAAGTATTTCTGTCAGTTGTCTAGTGAAAACTGATAGAAATATTTAAATACTAGTATCCTAATTTGTGGGTACTAACCCATAAACTCTGCTTAGCTTTGTGACTAGATGGCGCTGTATAATCGAAGGTTATTATTACAGACAGATAACTGCATAGGAATTATTTATGAATAGCACGGTGAATCTATTTTGATACAATTATAAGCCAGTTTGTAATATATAACGTTTATAAATAAGTATAGAACTGCGTCATAGTGTAGTGTTTAGACCATATCAAGAGCTTACGCATTAAGAATATTAGTATTTTTTACACGGCGTTGCGGTTTTTTTATTGCACAACACAATAATGCTTAGTATTTTAGTAATTTATTTTAGAATTAAAATTTAAAAGAGTATGTATAAATACTAAATTGAAGTAAATTAAATTAATTCTTAATTGAAATGCAGTACAAAAAATAAAGTCTTCCAAATGAACTTTATTTTTTTATCGAAGCCATTATAATATGGTGTTGATTGTTTTTAATGACTCTTTTTGTACTAATTGTAATCTATAATATTTGATACCGATTATTCGTGCAGTCAATAATACGAACACAGTTTAGTACTTTGTCATAGTGACTTTATTTATAACTCCAATAATTTTTAGAAGTTATTACTGAATTGTTATTATAACAAAGTACATAAGTGTTTATTAGCTATGAATATCTAGAAATTTTGTATTTGCCATGTAAAACCAATACAGTTATGTCAGACCACGGTGCCTATATACAAGTAACGGAATATTTGAGAGCAATATTTAATATAATTAAAAAGCTATAAAGAAACCGCAACAAATACAATCGAAATATAATGTCGTAATGTTTTCTGCAATAGATTTTTATACAGTATAATAAATTGGCAAACCAACCACATACCTCGATGGTAAACAATATGAATTGCTCAATACTTACTAAATATACACATATAATAGATTGGACCTGAGCTTTTGTAGTTAATTCTGTATATTATTCGATATGCGACCAGACGTCTTTTTATCAGTGAATATAATGAAAACGAACTACTGTCACTTTAAAAAATATATATAAAATCTTGTTTTCAAGTTGTACAAAATTTTATAAGTTTTTAATTGAGGGACGGCAAATTAAGGTAGCATTACGGTGCGGTAGGAAGCGGTGCGTCATGCTTTTAACCTCTCATCTGCGAAGGAGCCAATTATTAATTAACTCGGACACTATAGCTCCATCTGTAGAGTACCCAATAATATTTTAAACTACATTAAAAATTATTGGATACATTACAGAAGACTCGAAAGCGCCATCTGAGAGAAGTCCTGTAATTGGTCTCACAGATGGGGCGTTAATATCATTTTGACAACTAGCTATAAAAGGTTAGTTATTGAAAAGAGTGCGGCATCCTATAATCGCACTGCGTTTTCATGCATCGAGATGCTTCCTTAAGATATAATCAATTTGTTTATATTTTGATTGACAACTGTAATCCGCATTATCTTAGGATATAGAACATTGTAGTCGTTACATCTGTTGAATGTAACGTTGATTTTTAAAAGGTCTGTTTACAAGACTTTAACAAACTAGTTGTATGGACGTCTGCTTGTAATTCGGATAGCTTAGATAAATATAAATATATCATTATATAAGCATCACATAGTTATAGTGCAGGGCCAATGAGTACTGTAACGTAGATGTAACATAGGCGGGACTAGGTCGAGCAATAAATAATAATTCGAGGTGCTTACTGTTATGTGTCCGACTGTACATATATTTTAAATCTATATAGTAAATCAATACAAAATGCACAATTAAAAAAAATAAATTGGAGTTGTTATGTACCAAAATTTAAAGAGCATGTTGGAAGGTCGTGGAAACTGGCAACAGCGCCACCGACAATAATGTGGCTCTTAAATTATGAATGAATATTAATACGTGAAACAAAAACATTGTACCCCTTTTTACGAAAATTACGCTGACGGAGGAGTATAAAATTTCGCACACTTATATATTTTATAAAGAGGAGTTCAGAATGCTAATCTTATATAAATCAATAAAAAAACATTAGATACCCTACCCTTTTTTGGACACATATATACACTTTTGTTTATTGTTAAAATATGTGGTTAAATTGAGAATAGATTAATATTGTTTGTCTTTAATATTATTAGTCTATAGTCTTACTGAATGTTAAATTAATTATGGTTGAATTTCGATCACTGGGCGACCACTAGTTTGTTTAAATGGAAGAAATGCTTGTTTTTTGCTTATCTGTAAGCAAAGACTGACGGACACATAACAGTAAGTGTGGGCCACGTCATCAGGGTTAGAACGAACGGCCCGTGCCAACGTTTTGCGTATTGGTTGTTAAGCTCCGCCCTCTCTGGAAACGAGCCAATCGAACGACGCCGTCGACTCTCGTCATCACTGGTCGTCCGGTCTGAACCCGACATGTGAGCCCACTTTAAGACCGGACAGTGTCGGCTTATCGGAGTCGCAAAATATGCCTTTTTATTGTTGTGTACGTACGTGTATAGTGTTAGTGGTGTAAGTGAATCTCCTTGGACTATCCGATTAATAATTATTACTTATTTTTAGGCGAATTATTAGACTTTTATAAATATTTGGCGGTCTGAGACTTTCGTGCGTATGTTATTTATTGTTGCACTGTATTTTAAATAGTAACCTAATTTTTTTTACTAGGTCTTACCCGCGGATTCGTCTGCATATAGAGTTTTCCCTAATTCATATTCTATCTGATTTTTTTATTTAAAAATCTTTATACAATCTTCATTCAAAAATTTGTTAAGATTCTTCAGCTTAGTCATGAAAATATGTCAAACAGATAGACACTTATTATCTATAATTTAATTAGTATTATTATATATTTATTTCAGTATTTTAATATCACAAATAATGTATTTCTTATTAACGGCCAACGGTTACTAGTTAAAGTTGTTCATTTGAAGCAAGCCGTTGTCTGTGAAAAGTCTCAGTGCTGCCATTCAAAATTATTATTTATGTTTAAAATGTTAAGCTTGCATTTAAATTGATTTGTTAAGGCCAAGTGTTTAGTATTTTATTGGATGTGTATATTTTAGTTTAATAAAAACACACTGGTTTTGTTCGTCGCCAAAAACCACTTCACATGAGCTATTTGTAAACGTAACTATAGTGTTAGATTCATATACAGGGTTACGAGTAAATGGTATACCAAGGCGACAGTAATTCGTTTGCCGGCCGTGATCTTGTTGCCCGAGACAACGCCTCAGGCTTTCTTCTGCCTCCTAGATTCCGAGTTGTGTGAATAGTAATATTTTCAAAATTGAATCATAGAAACAAATATAAAAAATATATATAAGTATCAAGTTTTATGTATATCTAAGTATCAAACAACGAATTTCATTCTGTTATCTAATACCCATAGCACAAGCTCTGCTTGACTTGGCACTAGATGGCGCGCACATTTTATTATAAATTATGAATAGTTAGTTCTAAATGTATTTTCTGATTTCGACTTTATTTTTACCTTACTTACTGTACTGTACTACTGCTTAGTGTACCCTTTACGGACTAACCCTGTACATTTTTTTTATATACAAATTTATATGAAACAATTTCATCATCAGTGTATCTACATTTTGCGTTTGAAAATCGCTTATGTGACAGGTCTCTAAATTCTGTCTATTTTATACATAAAAACGTTATTCCTCCACCCATATAATTTGTGTGTTTGTCCCTTACTTGCAAATTAAGATATTAACCTAAAGAGAGAGACAAAATACCTCAACTGTTAAAATAGGTAGGTGTGACGTTTTTGTGAATAACGCACGCGAGACCGCGTCAATTACGAAACCTATATAGTGCAAATTGCGTAATAAACAAAAGTAGGAATTTTATGGAATCTGTGACACCAATTATACATATAATAAATACACTGCCAGATATATTTTTACCAGAGTGGTCGGGCGACTAGTGTAGTTCTGTTATTTATAATGTAGGGCAGGGCTGTCCAAACTAGATAGGATTTATGGCCCGTAAATATTACTAAATTCATTGAGGGGCCGCAAAATATTTGTAAAAACAAAATGCAGGTAGAATATCATTATTTTATTATTGCATTAATTTATCTTTTACAATTCTGTCAACGTTAACGTCAGTATTGGTAGTAGTTAGACACAATGCATGGTTATAAGAGTAGAAGAGAAATAATTTATTCATCAAATCATTTGGGATTATTAAAAATTATAATTTTGTATAATTTTCTCTATACAAAAAAAAAATATTTAGCGGTCCGCATCAATTTAAGCCGCGGGCCATGGTTTGGACAGCTCTGATGTAGGGTATAGACTAGTTATTATTCAGTAATGAACCTTTATATTCAATAATGTATCTATAAATAGTATAAACGGAAGTCTCTGTTTATTTCTCCGCTTGCTACTAAACAAACTCATTTTGATAACATTTTTACTGTATTTTTTTACGGAAGTTTTGTCTGTACAATATATGTATCATTACTTATATATGCTTATATTTTCTGTCATTGTGAAAGCAAGACAGGGTAGGTTCATTCATCAGAGGTCGTATCCGTCAGGCGGGACTTGGCCTTTAGCCGCTCTATAAGTTCTTCCGCGAAATTGGAGTACCATCTGCACTCGCCCTCTACCGTCCGGTGAAGCTGTAAAGGCCAGCTGCGGCCAACAGCATTGAGAGTAGTCCGAAAAACAATCATAAGTTTTTTAGTATTTTTTCTGATTTATCAATTGTTTTAAGTATCACGTTTTATTTATTTTATCAGTCTTACTTTTATATTGCATGTTGAATTCGATACTCTTAATTCTAGATCTGCCATATTTTTGCTAGTAATTTCAGCAAATATTTTTAAGAAATAATAGTTTCTTTTTCTTGTTCAAGAAAAGATGAAAGTATTTTTATTTAACTGCTGTATATTCTATTAACATACAATTGACAAAGTATGTCAAAATATTTATGTACATGTTTTGGAAAGGTGTAAGCGGATCCAGGTAATTATCTTTTGATTTTTTTAAGTGTATATTTTTTATTTGAATAGATATTGATAGATGCTACTGAAAAAGGTTCAATACTGAATTCATTGGTATGAAGTTGCAATTGATGTATTTATGTACAGTAATTCTTGTCTCGTTATTATTTAAACGCTTTTTTATTTTAATAATTATAGCATGTAAAACATTTGTATACACTTATATATACTGAAGAATTAATATTGTTTAAAAATAATTAATGTGTATTCGACATTATTAATGATATTACTACTCGATATCTAAAAGACTGGCCGAATATATTTTCTTAATGTTAGAAAAAAAACTTTATTGTTTATATTGGAAATGTATTTTAATTCTAATTTTAAATTGTAAATATTGTATTATGATCTTTTTTCTTTATTTTTAAGGTTTTTTGAGTACATGGAAGGATGATACTGTAAAGACTTAATTGCACCTTCATACCTATTAAATCCTTATTCTAAACGATCTTATGAATTAATCATACTTTTTAATCACAATTTTTAAATTTTAGCACAGGTTGGTTTGATTGTATGTGTACGACTCATGTGTCTGTGATAGTTTATTTATTTCTTTTCTCTATGTCTAGGAATTTATCTGTAGCAATGACTAAAGTTTTATTCTGTATTCTGTGCCAAACTCAATAAAATGTATATACACTTTGTCACAAATTTAATCTAACATAAATTAGTTTAATTTTAGTAGTTATAAAAACGTTATATTTGAAAAATGAACTTTGGCACCAATGTTTGAACGTTTTAGGTACAAATTCAAATAATGATTATTTGATTTTTTTATATGAATCGGTATTGGCAATGATTATATCACAGGTTTATGTAATAAGTAGTATTTTCAAAACTACGTCATGTTATACTATTATTTTTAATTATTCCACCTGAATACATCGGTGGTTTAGTGGCTTAGGATTTTCCTCACTTTGGTGGTCTGCAAATTGGATCCCCGCACAATAATTATATATTTTCATGACTATTTCTGTATTGGGCAGGGATTTATTAACCTGAATTGCCATTACTTTCCAATACTGCCTTCTCTGTATATAATTTTCTATATAAATAAAATTTAGAGGAAACCTTTAAACGTTATGAAATGATTAAGAAAATTCAGTATTATTATAAAATTTTAGTCATTGTATGTGACTTGTGTTTCATTAACTGTATCATTTATTTATTAGTATTTTAGCGGTTCAGTGACGTTTTAGGTCTTCGCGTTATTCTTAGATCCAAACTATTATTAGCACCCAAAGATTGTTATAAATTTATACAAGAATATTTATGTTGAATAAGAAATAAAATTATCCAAATGTAACATTGTGATTTGTTGATTATTTTGATTGGACTCCAAGTTTGGATCTTGTTGTTGATACGCTGAGGATTTTGTTGTGACGTTTGATGAACTATTTACAAACTATATATAACTAAAGTTACGATTACGATCTACGATTGGATTTAACATGTTGAAGACCGCATTGAAGAATCTTATTTCTCACATAAACATTTTTTTTATTGTTAATTACGTTAATTATTTTTTAGTAGGTTTTTTAGTGTATAATGATTTGAGGTAGACATTATTTAACCCCTAGATTTATTTCAATTAAAGTGCCCACGGGTGATCACCAGGTCCCAACGTGTACATTTACTTTCGTTGCGGAGTGAGTGACTCACCTGTGGGCATGCGGTCTTTAACGTGTTAATAATTGAACTATTATATAAAAGACTAGATGTTTCGGTAAATGTTAAACTTTAGGTTCATCAAATGTGTATATTAGGTGCAAAATTCCCAGCGTACCTTTAAATATCATTATGTATGTGTTAATTAAAATTAAGCGTGTGTCAAATGGCAGATCCATTGATTTGAAGTCATCAATCAAACTCCACCACGCGGGTGTCTGCGTCCAACAGAACTGAGTACACGTATCACGACGGACCGGCAGTAATGTGAGCGCACTGTATAAGAACGCAAACGATACAGTTCAATCCAATTAGGTGTAATTTTGCGGAAGTCCACATCACTACTTGATGCACTTATATTATTTTACAATATGATATAAATCCATCAAGTAATGATACAGTTGTCTATGGGCGTAAATAATGTTAGTTTTGATAAAATAACATTTCAATAATTTCACCTCTTTGGTGATTCGGTAATTTAGTTTAAAAAACAAAAATCGTTTTCATATATTTTATCGGTTAATACTAATTTTCTCAAAAAAAGAATACAGGTAAGGTAAATTACCTCTGTATTTAGTAAAGGTAACTTTAGGTAATTTGCATTAAAACTTTGCGAATTAAATTCTCTTGGCGTTGCGTTCTTATACATTGTTTGATGTTGTGTTACACTATATGTTGATTGATGACCGATAATTATTGGAAGTCTACGTAAATAGATACAATACGCCGTTGCCGTCGTGGTGCCTCCTATGTGGTCTGTTCTGATGACGTAGCCTCCCAAATTCCCCCAAAAATACTTAGATACATTTTTAAGTTTGCATATTCGAGTGGTAATATACCAGATGGAGGCACTACGCACGGTAAGTTTTACATGTTTCTATTATTTTTATTGTATAAATTCTAATTTTATCTTTATAAATGTAATTATAAGTTATCATCCAAGATTCTACTTGTGAACGTTGACGAAGATCTATACGTAAGACTAAGGGTTATTGATCCATGCTTGTCTGTGGCAGTAAATTCATGATATTAGTAGTATTACAGTCTGGACTGCATATTTTCAGAAATCTATGTAGAAAGTATTCAGTATTCTTTGCACTGCTCTCTTATCAAGTAGTATCCGAGTTTTCGAATAAATAACAAGTATATTCTGGGTTCTCCCAGGTTTTTACGAAGTGTAGTTAGATCATTCGGGTCTCTAAGGTCATATTAACTGCAGGTGCTTAGAAATTGTATAATTTACTTTTCAATTATTATATTCTTGACGGCCTCGGTGGTCTAGCGGTTTAGCGCATTTTAGCGCTTTACTTCCGATGGTCGCGGTTCGATTCCTCGCAATTCCTCCAAACATTGTATTTATGAGTGTGATTGTTTGTGGGGTCTTGTCTGGGTGTTTTCTATGTATATTATGAATGTATTTATAAATGAAAATATTTTAGTATTTGTATCAGTTGTCTAGCTCTATAACACACGCTTTGGTTACCTTGCGACTAGATGACGTTGCACGAATTGTCAAAGGTTATTATTATTATTAATAAGCCCGCGGTTTCACCCGCAAATGAAATTTTTATCCTATATGTTGTTCTAATGTATAAGATATATTACTGTAAAGTTTCATAAAAATATGTTCAGTAGTTTTTTAGGGAAAAAGTAACAAACATCCATCCATACTCAAACTTTCGCGTTTATAATATTAATAAGATTTAATTATATGATGTACTAGTAATTTTTCTTTCTTATTAAATGTTACGACGTATTTGTAACAGTGTGCGGTGCGAAGTACAAGACCCGTCCAGGGCTGACGTACCACTTCACGCACACGCACAAGGACCCGCCCCCCGGGGGAGCGCCGGCGGCCGGCAGCGACGGAGACTCCCGCGACAGCCGCGCGGGCGCGCACACGCCGCCCCACACCGCCGCGCAGCCCGGGCCTCCGCCCCCGGCCACGGAGTACCAGGACAGCTACGTCACCTTTCTCAACAACCCCGCCGGGGCTGGTTAGTCTTTATATATACTTTAGCGGCGCCCGAGAGGAGTGATCACTTTTAGTTGTTTTTTTTTCGGACTACTCTAATGCAGGCCGCAGCTGGCCTTTACAGCGTCACCGGAAGATAGGGGACTAGTGTAGATGGCACTCAAAACACGCGGAAGGACTTAAAGAGCGACTGAAGGTTAACTCCCGCTTGACGGATACGACTTTACCGCTAGGGGTTCGAACCTCGGCTCAGGCTGTCGTAATTTCGATCCCTGTTTGAATTGGACGGGGGCTCGATCAGAGGAGACGATGTGTAACTGTGGCGCTGTTCATGTATATACGCAACGGTTGTCACTTACCACCAGGTGTCAACTTCTTCACCATTACAGTTATAAAAAATAACTGTAAGCTTATTCACACCTGATAGTAAGGGTCAACTGTCGCGTATATACATGAACAATTACAATTATAGATCATCGAGTAATCTATTCTACATCACACGTGTAATGTGTGTCAGGTTTCGTTCGCCATTTCCAGTTATATAAAGAACAGTTGATGATGTGGAATAAGCTTATTTATTCATGATTCCACATATCGAATCCTGTAGCGAGGACTGAAATATACTGGAATTACTTTAAATAAATTCAAAACATCTGTTAAATCATATTTACTGAGCAAATCCTATTACTCACTAAACGATTACTTGAATGACGAGCATGCATGGCAATAGTTTATCATATACTGGATTTTCATTTAATTTTAGACATATCCACCGATTTTAAATTGCTTATACATTGTAAAAAGAGGCTTTTTTTAAAAAAATAAGAAATTCAATTAAGTTTCTTATCAGTTCTTCTCAATTGGATCTACATATATACTGACCTGGACGGTAGGGAAAATAATATAATATAAAGAATTTGACGTTCAAATTTGAAGCTGCTAAAAAGTATATGAATAAATGATTTTTGAATCTGAATTTAACGGGCCCCTTGTAATTCGATAGCGACACTAGGCGCAGCAGGCGGGGCTGCGCCCCCCACGCGTCGTGCTTCGCCCCCGAGGCCGGCGCGGCCCGCGTCCGCCGACACGTCTTCATCAGATTCCGCGCACGCGCCGCTCGTGCCGCCCGGCACCGCTGCCGCCGCCGCTTCCGCTTCTGCTTCCGCCTCCGCATCCGCTTCGAGCGTCACGCCCGAAGGAAAGGAGGGCGACACCAAGGTTAGTTACTGTCTTTGTGACGATTGTCGTATATGCCGCACTTATGTGATGTGGCCGAGGGATGTTGCGATATCAACCTGGTATTGCAATTACATTTAAGACATTATGTATCAAGTCCAAAATTTCTGGCGATCTGTTTCAATTCGATTTGTTTCCACTTCTCGATACGGTACTAAAAGTACTTGGTATTAAGTTAAGTGCTACTTAATTAAACTAAGAATTGAAAGTCGGGAAGTTTGACTGCGCATTCCACTAACTATTCGCTAGTTTTTAGTCCCTGCGCTGCTCCTTACTGAGCTATATCTTAATCTTAAACAACTACATCTAAATCTTAACAGCTTTTGGAAAAGAGAAGAATAAAAAAAAACTATCCTTCCCCGAGTACATACATCATATAAAAAAGCGAGGATGGGGCAACGCAAATTGACCGCTTTGAACTTGTATGATTTAATATAATATTACCTGTAACCTTGAATAGCATTTTTAATTGTTTAGGCTAATTATTGTACAAATAAGACACATGTATAAATACTTTAAGCTTTAAAAAAAGTTCTTCGTTCTCGTAATATGACGAAATTTATTTATATTTCATCAACAGCCTAAAAAATATTTTTCAAGCTTGTTGCTTTAAAACTGATGAAGCTTCCATACAACCTTTCATCTCCCCTTTCAACGTCAAGGAAGGTCTAAACTATCTATGTACTAAATTTCATTTAAATCGGTACAGTAGTTTTAGCGTGAATCCGCGACAGACCGAGTTACTTTTGCATTTGTAATATTAGTTTGCATTATTGTGAAAAAGTCTTATATTAAATTATTTTGACTTTGTGTTTCTGATTGCAGGCATCGCCATCACCGTATTGCGACTTCTGCCTCGGCGACGACAGAGAGAACAAGAAGACGGGTACTCCTGAGGAACTAGTTAGTTGTTCAGACTGCGGGCGATCAGGTAAGAGACGCGGCCGGCCGCCGCGTAACGGTCACAAGAAGTGCTACCACATCGATAACAGGGTCTGCGAACGTCACAGACATCTCAAGGAGAATATCAAGCTGAACGGCATTGTTGAAATATTGTCTTCCATGTCATACCCGGCTGATGCTTTCGACACGTTCGCGAGTCAGACAAACTTGCTAAATGATGAGTATGTGGAATATCCTGTTTCGCCACCGTCGTCGCGTCAAAGTCCTCTCATATAGACATATGTTATATGTAATGTGACCCGTCAAATATAGATGAAGTGATTTCATTTAACAAATTCCTTCGATGACTAAATGTAGTCTTTGTATAGGTGCAGTAATTTTAGAGATCACAGATAATTAATAATTCGATTCACGACTTGAATCCAATTATTAAGGGGATTTCAAAATCTACTGGCCAGATTTTGATCAATTTTATATTAGAACACAAGAGAGGTTATATTCACCTAAGAATAAAGTGCTTATGAAAGAAAGAGCAAAAGAATATACAAGGGAATATGTGAACGTCTATTGTTGAGGTAGATTAAAAATATAATACATTTTTAATTCGCTTATTATGTTAATTAAAAAAATGGGCTTGTACTTATTTTTGGGGTTATCAATTAAAAAAAAAATTGGATTCTTTACTCTTAATGTTAACTACTCGATGGATTTATATTATTTTGTTTAATTTCGCTACAATTAATCAATAACGGTCGGAATTTGATCACCACTGGAGAAGGTCGTAGCGCTGGTCAGGTTTCCACACCGAATATTCGTAGTCTCACACATGTTAATTGTAGCGGAATTAAACAAAATAATATAAATCCATCGAGTAGTGAAATGGACTTCCGCAAAATAACACCTAATTCGATTAAATATATCTTAATGTTAATTTATAATTATTCAGACTTTATAGCTCTCTTATTCTGTGGTTACTAGATATTCGTCTTTATTCACATATAACTAAATATTAAAGTTAATGGAATGCTTTGTCTATGTTTGGTTACGGTCATATTACACTACTATTGCAGCAGTTATATTTTGTTGCAAGCAAAAAAGATACTTATCACTATAAGCATAAGTTGTATATTGTCACAAATACATCACGTTATGTGATGGGATTTCTTATTCTTACCAAAGAGGTATGTTTGATGTTACTTTTATGTTACAGATTATATAAATATGTTATAAAATATCCACGTAATTTCATATACATTCCAAATAATTCGTTTGAAAGTCATACATGAAGAACCTTTACATCATTAGAATATTTCTAGACTTTTATAATTAAACCTTTGTACGGTAATACATTACTTAAAAATGTGATCTAGTGTTGCCATGATAAAAATTTCTATACTTATATGACGATGGATGCCAAATATTTTAATATGTTGTCTGTTGTAAATTTATTAGAGTTTTACTTTACATTTATTTGTCAATGCGTTATTGCGTTTAACGCATTTTTTATTATATTAGACGATACCAAAATTATTTAACGAAGTACATTAGTTCAAGCCGCAATTTAGTTATGTAAGCATCCTTGTAATTTGTTTTTTTAGATTGTTTCTGATATTACCTAATGGAATAAAAAAATATTATATATATTTCCATAAAGAACATTCTAGAAATACATAAATCTATTGTAAATTTTTGTAGGAACTTATTCGAACACATTTTAAAAATAATTTAATGTCTTCATTTGCTTGTGCCTTAATATATTGACAACTTTTATTAAGATGATCCACTTTTTTAGAGTTTATTTATACTAATTCCAAGTAGGTTTGAATATATAAAAATCAATATTATTTACAATATTTTAAATTTTAACACTCTTGTCATGTACCCTTGTCTCTATTAAGAATGTCTAATTCCGTCTCGCCCGTTCTCTATAGACAAGAAAGAGACAAATGTAGGCATGTTTGAAGTCGAGTGTCTAAGGTTGCTGATATACAGCGGTCAGACGTCAGGTTGTTTGAATGCGACTAACGTTCTTATCCTTCAACGCATCTACTAGAGTGCGGAGCCAGCAATGAAATAATAATATAGAATTTTGAACAATGTTATAATTGTTCGTCAATTCTCTGAAACTTTATAGTGGTACTTTAATTGCGTTTGGTTTAATTCTTAGGCTGTGAAAGAAAACGCCCTTCAAAAGTCGGTAATATGGTCATGAGTATGCCAAATTATTAATAACATAGTAAAGCCAACGATAGTTTTCTTTGAAAAGATGATTTTGAATGTATTAATGTAATATATAGCATTTTAGTAATACGATGATTGACCGACTATAACCGACCGTATATCAGCAGCCTTAATAAAACTTGTAATATATTATCTATAGTTGCTTTGCTTATTACCGTAAAGCCATATCATATATAGCACGATCCCAGCTTTCTAGTCACGCGTCACCAAAACCAAATCATATTATGTCAACGCACACGCCTAACCTAAATCGTTATGCCTCAAAATGATCGTTATTTTGGCAATTTTGAGTAGATACAAACAGAATATTGCTATCTTTTTCTATACTTTGCGTGATAGCTGTTTGGTTTACCACTTATATATAGCGCGATTTGGAAATTTACATCTCCAAAACGTGGTAAATAACACTGATTATTCTGTTTGGTTTACCACTTAAATATATAGCGGTCTAGAGTAACTACTTTCATTTGAGTCAGGGATAGGCGGCTTTTTGAGGCAAGTATCTGGGTTTCTAAATTGTTTTGGTGATTCCTAATATGTAAAATTTGCAGTTTACGATAAGGATAATTTCGTTATTCATAATATAGGTTCCTTAGAGAATTTGTGAATAAAATTTTACGAAAGAAAGAGATAGTTATATTTAGTTGGCATGGTTATAGTGAGAGAGCTATGTGTATCTATTGAAAAGAAGGCCGCACTGTAAGTTGTCCTGATACTGTTAGACGCTATATTCAACAGCTTCGGCCAAAAGAATTAGAATAGTTCGAGAAAGAAAACTTATGCTATAGTGCCAAATCATAAATTTTGTTTTTAGTAATAAAAAGTTATTATTTGAAAAACTGACGAAACATTAATCGTTTTTTTTGTATTTGTCATTTCATTCATTTGTGCCAAAGAGATTTTAGGATATTAAAGTAATGTTGCCAAAGTTTTTTTTTATATAAATTCTGGCGGTTCACCCAAATATAGCACCATGAATTCAAATTCAAAATTTCTTTATTCATGTAGGTCTTTTTCAGAATCTTACGATATGTCAAGATTTACCGTCAGTTCGGAGTGATTTCGAGATGAGAAGAACTGACAAAAAACTGAGCTCGGTATTCTTTTCAAACAAGGTTATACATGTTTACAATAATATAGATTTATCACTATTCGTGTGGGTACCCTTCATAGGTTGCCATATCTGGGACTAGGGTGTCATTTTATTCTTTAATTCTTTAGAAATTTAATACAAAAATAACTTAATATAACCGTACGATAACAACAAATATTACAAATAGTTTCAAAATAAAATTATCAATTACATAATAATAATAATATTTAGTTAAACATAGATTGTGTTATAGGTACTATACAACTGTTATAAATACTATATATTAACTTTTTTTTTTGTAAATACATACATAATATACATAGAAAACACCAAGACTGATACAAAGAATGATACTCATGAATACAAATGTTTGTACCGTGCGAGGCGATTCCTCGCCCGCCCCTCAACCCGCGACCATCGGATATAAACTACAATACCGCCGAGTTTGTCAAATTATATGACATTTGATTTCAACAGTAGTGTATTTCACACTGTATAATTATTTATCTTTTCACTATTGGGTCGGTATGCCTCGTGTCATGCCTCTGAAAGAAATTTCAATTTATGCGTATGGACATTAATATTATCATGTTTCTCCATTTAAGATTTCTATTATAATTAGTCGAATTACGATATGTCTAAGAAAACTTGTACTTTGTAATTCATTAGAATACATAGAAATTCCTTAATTGCATATTAAAGAATCACCTATATTCAATTTGGATCTCCCAGATATAATATTATACAATATTGTTTAGTAAATAATAAATGAACTGCTAGTATATTTTTAGTGGAATTCATCTGTTATTTTTTTAATGTAGTATAATCGGATACAGATAGAGTTATTTTACGTTTTAACAATGGTTTCGAACATTATGAAATTAATATTTGCTTTTAATTGGTTAATTAAATACGAACTGTTATTTAATCATTAAAAAACTTTTTAATCCCTAACGTATAATAGAGATTAAAAAGTTTTTTTATGTATCAACACATTATATAGGGTCCTGCAAAATTATCTGCATTTCCTTGTACATAGCATAGTATGTGGAATATGCTTCATTACTATAATTTATGGAATTTCGTCTGCATAATGTGGTTAATTATTTATACATCAAAATGTTACTAATGTTATAAATGTGACTGTTTGTGAGTATGGACGGATTGATGCATGTTTGTTACTCTTTCATGCAAAAATTCTTGACGGAATTTAATGAAACTCTACTAATAGTAGTAATATAGCCTTTTTCGGCCTACTCTAATGCTTTTGGCCGCAGCTGACCTTTACAGCTTCACCGGACGTTAAGGGGCGAGTGCAGATGGCACTCGAAACCCGCGGGAGGACTTATGGAGCGGCTGAATGCCAACTCCTGCCTGACGGAGTAATATAGCGTATATATCAGAATAACACATAGGCTATACTTTAAAAATATATTATGTAAGTTGGGCGAACTATAGTGAAAATGCAGACGAAGTTGCGTGTGAGTTAGTTAGTGTTTAATTAATTCAAATATGTCATTTGTTTAAACTGGTGTTTAAAAACAGTTGTTGCCCCAGCAATTATTGCTTATCCATGTTTTGGTAGGAACAATAAAAAATCAATGAACTGCCTATAGTACCAAAAGTACTAATAATTATTTATATGCAGTGATGAAATTTAGGTTTTTAATTTAATGGTGGTTAGACATGAAATTTATTTATATTCTACTCGGCAAATGTCTTCCATATAAATTATTTCTGAATAGGTACCCCCTTATCAACTCTTAACTATCTACAAGAAAAATTCGCTAAAAACTGGCCGTATCCGTCAGGCGGGAGTCTCTAAAGTCCTTCCGCGGGTTTGGAGTCCATTTACACTCGCCCCCTATCGTCCGGTGAAGCTGTAAAGGCCAGCTGCGGCCAACAGCAAATAGAGTAGTCCGAAAGTTAAGGTTAAGCCTAAAGATGACAAACATTGTGATAGGATTTTTTTTTGTATATTAAATACATAATTTACACTATGCTCTATAGCAGGGAATGCAGATAATTTGGTAGTATCTTGTATATGGAAAGTTTTATAATTTTGACTTTTTGTAAACAGTTACAAGAAATCACATTTTCTATAGTTTTGTTATTCAGTGTTAGCAATATTAGAGCTTATTTAAATGTGCCTTCCCATTTTAAACTATATGCGAGCATGGTATGTATGTAAATATATTTGGGTATAATTATTTGCTACCGTATATCAGTTCCGATTATTGTTCAGTCCAAAGATTTGAATTGTTTAGATTATATTTTAAAAGACTATTAGCATGTTATTAATTTCACATTCCTATAATCGATATTTTATTAAAAAATAATTAGATTTTAAATTTGTATGTAGTCATATACTTTTTTAAATTTGACGCTGTTGTTATTTATACGTAATATTAAGAAAATCACATGATTAAAACCAATAATTACGATCTGAAAGTATTAAGGATTTCACAATTTGAATTTTGTTGTCGTTGCTCGATTTCAAAATCCATAGGATTCCATATATCATCCAATCTTATTAATATTATAAACCCGAAAATTTGTGAGTATGGATGGATGTTTGTGACTTTTTCACCCAAAAACTATTGAACGGATTTTGATGAAACTTTACAGTAATATAGCTTGTACATCAGAATAACATATAACTATAAATTTCACGCGGGTGAAACCGCGGGCACAGCTAGTCATATATATTCTTTATTGCACTTAGAAATTCAGTAGTAAACTTAATTATATACAAAGTGAGCAAAAGTGGATTTATCTCTAAAAGATATCTCTACCAGTCAACCTAACAGTGTGGCATAGCTAGTAGTGGGTGGGTAACACTAGTGTAACTATAATGATGAAATGTCCAAAAATTTGAAAATAATAATTTAAGTTAATTTTGTAATTAATTACAGAAAAATGTTTCGTTCGGATACCCCGATTGATTGAATGTGATAAAATAATGTGTGGGATGATACAGTGAGTATAGTTTGCCGAGATTAATGTCCAGCAAGTTTCAATAGTAGCGACAAAAACGTTCGAAGGTAAATTAAAGAGGAGAAGGAGAGAGAGGTAAATTAGGGAGAGCATAATTTACCATCTACCCTCTTCTCTTTATTTACCCGTGATCATTTCAGTTTGTTGATATATTGGGTTCTAAATAAACCCGTGATTTTCTTAACATTATATGTATTTTTAGTCAAATTCTCCTTTTTAAATTGTATATGAAATAAATAATATTTCTCTCCTAATCGCTTCCTATAGATATGTTTAAATATCGTGTATATTTAACGTTATTATATTTAATATATATTAATATAGTTTTAGTTATTTTCTGACGTTACAATAGACATGATATTATTTTGTTACTATAAATAATAGTTTAACGGTTATTTATATTATTAACCGGGTTTCAACACGGATCATTTTGTGGCAAATAAACGTATTTACATCTCTCGACGTGTTGAAACCCGGTTGATAATGTATATTAAACAGCAAACTTTAAAAATAACTAGTTTAACGGTTATTAATGAGAATTCTTGTTATAGTGGTTCTATTATTTACTCTATAATTATGTTAAACAAAATAGATACAAGTAAACGTGTTCAATAATTGTTCCATGTAATATATTTATGACCGGATATCCAGTTGTGTGCATATCACGGTGCCTTACTTTGTTAGTTCTAATCTTCATATAGTAAATAGAAGTATAGCCTTATATGGAGGTTTTTATGTATACTGTTATTAATTCAATCAGTTGTTTGCAAAGATAGGGGTTTGTAATGTATGGATGATGTGGAAATGTGCTTTCAAAAGGAATTGTTGCAGTCTTACGATATTTCTGTTGAATTTCTAATATTAATTGCATGTAATTATATGTTTAACGTGACCAAAAGATGATGTTATATATATCATAATTTCAATGCATTAGTTTATTGTAGTGTCTACATGTAATTGCAATTTATATGTTGACACTACAATAAACTAAAGTAGTACATAATACATTATTTTTTAAAATTACAAATTTAATCTGCCCTTGTACGACGCGCTGTCAGAGTACTCGAAATAACTCGAAATAATTTTCGAACATAAAACTGAATAGGAATTTCTTTTCAGCTTTTTTTTTTATTTTTAGTGAGGGGTTTGGGCTTTTGTCCAATGCTTTAGATCTGTAGCACTGCGACGTACATAGATCTATTTGTGCTCGCCCTTTTTCAAAGTTCGCTACCTGAACACATCAGGGACAAGTATTGAAGGATATTCTTAAGAGCGCTGGTTTTTATCTCCTCAGGATAGAGTGTATACTTTCCAAAGAAGTTATTTTGTATATGGATGAGGGGGCTACAACCACATAGGATGTGTAGCTTAAGTTTGTAAGTTATATATATTCTTTTCAAAAGAAAAACTTAAATGTTAACCATATCTTTAATATTGTAATTTCTATATATAGGGAAGCAATAGCACTCCGTGAGTGGGTGTAGTACAGGGCAGAAGATGATAATGCTGTATTATTTTTTGGTCGCGTTTTAGTATACATTATATTACCACTGTTTTACAAATGTTGGAAATATAAACGAGATATTTCTATAATAATGTTGTTTAAGAGCTCAAGATATTTCGACGCTGTTACAAAATGTCCTTGGTCGATAGATTTATATAATATGTATAAACGACTCGTTTATATAATGTGTACAAGTAAGCAAAGCGTGAATATGTATTACGATATAAGTGCGTTATGTTAGTTATAACACACGAGGCAGAATTTCAACCCGAGTTGAAGGCAGGGACGTAATAGAGCAGAGTGTGTTAAATGCGAACGTATTTCGTACGTTTTTCTTACGATATAAGTGCGTTGTTGTGTTATAACCATCATATAATACAACAACACAGGCGGAATTGCAGCCCGAGCCGTATACGAGAGCTTAATAAAGCCGAGTGTGTTAAATGCGCATATATCGTACGTTTTTCTTAATTGTACTCAACCGTGAAAATATTTTATTACGATATAAGTGCGTTATGATGGTTATAACACATAAGCCTGAGCCAAAGCAGAGTGCGTAATAGAACCGAGCGTGTTAAATACGCACGTATATCGTAAGATATTTTTCAACACACTTGATTTTAAATAATATGAACCATAAAACTATGATGCACAATGTTGCTTTCTCGTCGTTTTACTTTTTTAAATCGGCGTGCTGCGTATGAACTGACAGCTCCGCGCGACGGATTTCATAATTTAATTAGAAATAGTAGCAAATAGTGCCGTTATAAAAATAACTTTGCGTTTATAACGCACACGTGTTTTATAAGCTGCTTTATATATTGAAAACCGGTGGATTCAGATTCACTTTACGAGCGAGTGTGTTGAAAAAGTTATAACAGTGTTTATACGATTATTTGTTGCTTATTTACTTATTGGCTTGAAAGTATCCACAGTTGTAGGGAAGTGCATAGACGCGGCCACCCAAAGATATGTTATATCGCATTCATATATTTATATCTAAATTTTCTTAGTGTAAGACCGTTATAACAACTGTTTTGTATTGTGTAATTTTTTTCTACATTAAACATGTATAGACTTTAAATTGGCTTTCAATTTGTGCTGAAGAATAGTGAATTGTGCACTTCCTTACTTGTGATACTTTAATTATTGATCAACTCTCGGTTTTATTGTTAGTTATTTATTTTCTTTTGTTTATTTTTCACTATTGTTCGGCACATTTATATTTTACCCTTTTTTTTTATTATCTATATATTTATATAACGACGAGAAGAGACAGATTTGAAGGTAAGAATTTGTGCCTAACAATAATGAAGTATTCTTTTATTATATTATTTATATGTGGTGTTTAAAAAAATATTTGTAATAAACAAAAATCTTGTACGACATTTACAATTTTACAAACTGACTCTTAAATTTACTTTTTATATTAGAGCGCGTGTGGTTATCGCTTCATCACATGTGAAGAGTTGTCGCTACATAATTTATTTGTTATTTGTAGTATCTAGGTAGTGAGTACACCGGTGAAATAATTGTACATTATTTAAGCTTATTTGATAGTGTGCAACATGGTTTATTAGTTGTCGTAACATGGACTGACTTTACACTGAACTTAAATCTATGTCATCTGGAGAGGTACCAATGGAAGGGTCTCGCGTGATGAAATATTAAAACTGTAGACACAATATTTTAATTGTTTGCTAACAGATTTCAATACATTCTGTATAAAGTTGTATTTGTATATATATTTTTAAACACCATGTATAAATCAGTAAATCATGAATATAATAATGAAAAGTGTCTAGTGTAATATTAATTCATTGTGTATCGTCCAGGTCACCCCACGTGCCTGCAGTTCACCGCCAACATGATAGTATCCGTGCGCAAGTACCGCTGGCAGTGCATCGAGTGTAAATGCTGCTCCGTGTGCGGGACCAGCGACAACGATGTGAGTAAATGACGTTTTTTTTTTGTGGATGATAATGGAATGGTGCACCCGCCTGCGCTAACGGTTTACGTTGGCGGGGCACCAATGGAGGATGATAAGATGAGCATGAGGTCAGGTCAGTTAGCCCATCGTGACTAATTCACCAGGAATTAAACACGATGGTTTCCAAGGGGAACCGCGTGGAGGTCGACCTGACAAGGTATATTGCTAGCAATGGGGTTATCAATCTACATTACTAACAATCCCCTTCCCCCCCCGAGTAAATGACGTTGTAGATATCACTTATTTTTCTTCGGACTACTCCAATGCTGTTGGCCGAAGATACCCTTTACAGCTTCACCGGACGATAGGGGGCGAGTGCAGATGGCACTCCAAACCCGCTGAAGGACTTATGGAGCGGCTGATGCCAACTCCAGCTTGACGGATACGACTTTAGTCTGAGGCCACCTTTCAACCCCTTACAAATCTATTTTCGCATTAAAAGATAGCCTATGTCTGTTCTCAGGGTCTAGACTATTTGTGTACCAAATTTCACTTAAATCGTTTAAGTAGTTTGGGCGTGAAAGCGAGATAGATAGAGTTACTTTTGTATTTGTAATATTAGTAAGCAAGGATTATTATTAATTATATTATTATTGTATACAGGACCAGCTGCTGTTCTGTGATGACTGCGATCGTGGTTATCACATGTACTGCCTCGCGCCGCCCCTCGATACTCCACCGGAGGGCTCATGGTCGTGTGCGCTATGCATCAAGGAGTTCCACTTGAAGGAATGAACTGACAGGTTAATATTGAAACTGTTAGACCTACAATGAGAGTCACTGGCAGTTTTTATATTCTTTTATCCATATTCAAAATATGATGTTCTTTATATAATTCTTATTTTATTATACTTTTGTCACTGCGCTCTGCAATAAAAGACGTCTGTTCAAACATCTACCTATTTTCATTAATTTTTACTGAAACAAATGAAATTCTACTAATATAATTGAGTAAGTTTGTACGGATTGATAGTTGGGTGTATGGAATTTTTACCCACTAAAACCATTGTGATACAGCTGAGATATTTACATGATATTTCATAAAAATATAAAAAATAACATAACCTGTGACAATAATTTAAAAAGGAATTGTAGGTTTAATTTATTTAGTACTTTTTTACTTATTTTATGTTATATTTCATAATACTTTATCGTTTGTTTGTAGTAAGACATATAAAAAAAAACTGTTCTAAATTTATACGTGGCAATCCTCGGAACGGGAACAAATACCTGCCCCGCTCATAATGTGCTAATATAAAGCTGAAGACATTATTTGTTTGAACGTGCTAATCTGAGTATCTACTGGTTCTAATTGAAAAATATTTTTATGTACTGCGATACTCCATTTGTCGAGGAAGGCTTTAATGCTATATAATGTTACGCTACGACCAATACAGGCGAAGCATCACTGAAAAATGTTGCAAAAACGGGGAAAATTATTCATATTTGAGGGCTTCCGTTGCATGCGCTCCGCGAACGAAATCGCGGGCACAGCTAGTGTAATTATAACTGTAATGACTGTTTATACCATAATACAAAAAAATATATATTTATTTTATTATATATTTAAACTCACATTTTCTTTTCAGATGTTGGATATAGAAGCGATAGTGATGACTATATCGAGGGCTGTTTGGTACATACGTAACTCGTAATAACGGGTGTTTCTCGTCATATTAAATAAGTTCGCTAGTAAGTGAATATTGTGACAGATTGTACATTGTTGCCATAGATTATAGTGAGGCGGTCGGGTGAAGACTGACGGCTAGCGTATAAGTTTTATTCTATAGACAATATAAAGGCCGAGTCACACAGAATGCAGCGTTGTATATTTAAATGTATTTTCACTGCTATGTACGACTTAATGTAACACAGCCTAAGATTGCAATAAATTAAAAAAGTATTAAATTTAAAAAGAGCAATTTACAATTCGTTTTATATATATTATTAACCGGGTCTTAACACGAATTATTTTATGGTAAATATAGGTATTTACCTGTCTCGACGTTTCGACTAGGTTGCACTAGTCACGGTCAGGAGTTGACTGATATAATAATTATCATTTAATATAATAATCTGTTTATAACGTAGTGGTAATCCAACGGTTGCTTTTATTTTGCAGTGTACTAAACTACTTGAACTTTTATTTTATTTTTAGGTTTGATATCACAATAGTGAGTGCTGGTTACACAGTAACTTACTAAAATTTCAACAAATTTGTAATTTCAGACTCACAGATGTTTTTGATTGATGTTCAGATTATTATATACTTTGAAAAGTGCTTAAATTGAGTTTGTTTAAATTTATTTTTGATACTAATATTTTTTGTCTCATTGTAAACACATTCCATTAACAAATATTGAACATCGTCAATATACAATAGAGTGATGAATATAACAATATGTTGCAGGCAATTTAAACATAATATATTAATATGAGAGGAACCTGGAAGCATATACGTAATTAGACGATTAGTACTACAAATGATGCTTTACTTTAATACTGAACAATTAACAATCTTAAGTTCAGGTTCATAAAACACGTGCATTAACACGTATAGTCAATTATGACCACATAACCCGAAAAAGTATTCTCGTGAACACTCATTTTATTGATTTTAAATGCTTATTTCCAACTTTTGACACGTGCTGCGTTCTGTGTAAATCAGTCTTTATCGTATTGATAATAAGGTTTGTTACTTAGTTGTTTACGTCGATTTTATAAATACATAGAATTAATATGTATGCTCAAATGTAATAAGTTATATCAACACTAGTGGCATGGACACATGCTTCATTTGTCAACTGTCTGTAATGAGAGATGGTTTAGTAAAGAATGATAGAATAGCCTAAGCCTAAAACGTAATAATGACGTCATTATTAACATTCAACATGGTACTAGTTACACGCTCATGACCCCAAAAGGACTACATAAAGTGGCCTACACACGACACTAAAATCAATATTGGAATTTTTGTGGCACGATATGCGTCTCGTATCACGGGAGTTTGCCTTCAGCCGATAGCCGATAAGTCCTCCCGTGTGTTTGAAGTGCCATCTGCACTCGTCCCCATAAGGGGCGACCCGTATCGTCCAGTGAAGCTATAAAGGCCAGCTGCGGCCAACAGCGTTAAAATTGTCCGAAAAAAAAAACGAATATTTGATATCGATCCTCAATCGAATCGATCGATTTCACTACACAGGGAATGATCTAAAAAGCTACCCCAGCCGTCCCCACAACTTCACCGATATTATTCTTAATTGTCGTGTATATATTACACAATATTAATATTCTACATTTTATAAATCAAAGAAATACGTTATATGGATTTTTATTATGTATTGGCGTAAATACATATTGAAAAAACGGAACAACATATGTCAAATCTATATTTTATAAATAAAAGTAACATTAAATAAATCTATTACAGCTATCACAACAGTAACGGCCTTTGGATCGCTTCCTTAATTCAAAATAATGTGACAAAACTCAAATAGTTATAATACAATTTGTAAGATGTTTAAACATTTCATAGTACAATTAAATTCTCGTCATTGTTTCTGCAGGGTGTAAGAATAACAGAATTTAAATATATGATAATTCAGATATAGAAAAATACATAAGCCTATAAAAAAGCAGTCGCGAGACGCCAGGCTTAAGTGCAACGGCGAAAATATTTTGTACAAAGATGATATGTATAAAAAAATCGCGACGTCGTCATGCGCCGTAGTCGGTCCGATTATTAGATTATTTCACATCAATATATGTATTTATCAATCAATATACGTATTTATCAATCAATATATGTATTTATCAATCAATATATAATATATATTGAACTACGAATAGTTTGGTACGGAATTCTTAATATACGAGTATAACTCGTTGAAATGACTGGTTTAAATTTAAAATTACGCGTCTTTTATGTAAATAGTTACTATTAAAAGGTAAAAAAAAAACGTTTTAGGAACGTTCACATCAAAATCTAGCAGTTAGTATACAATTTAAAATTATAATTAATTAGATTATTTGCATTGTTTTATATTTTGGAGATTTTTGGAAATCATGGATGACAGTTCTTTTAGTCAACACTATATTAATCCTACAATAATATTCTTATTACAAATTGGAATCAAAAATATATTTGGAAAGTTTGATGAAAGACCCCGTGACGTAGGCAAATTGTTGTTCTTTATTTTTATTTTGAATATTGATATTGAAGAAATTGCCAGACTTTGGTGTGAATTATGAAATGTGTCTCTATTTTACTTTTAGCGTGTTACATGTAAAAAAAGCTAAAGAAATTAAGTGAACAAATTGTATAGTTGTTTATCGTCCAGTCTGCACTCGACTTTCCTATTTGTCTGTAAGGGCTTGTTCACACGAGTGGTGACCCGATGACGGGTTGTTATCGAATTTATTATATTTTAGACTGTTCCAATTGTTTAATTTTTAATAATTGAATGCATTTGTATACATAGCTTTATATTTTACTAGACTTGCCACTTAAAGACATTACAATTGTTAATGTTTGCAGAAAAAACAAATAAAAAATATCTATAGTAATAGGATAAAAGTCAGCTTTCTGTATACAGGCTGATTATGATGCAATCGAATAGAAATTACATAACATCGGGAACAATACAATAAAAGCGGTAAATAACGTATAATCAATGATATTTATCGTTTTGACGAAATTTTAATTCCGTTTGTAGTATTAATTTTAAAACTATTATGAGATTTGCAGTCGGTTGCATCTAAGGTCAGCCTGTAGAGCGGCAAATTAATCGAAAAATAATTATGTTGCTACGGTAACTTAGTCCTAACTGTAATGGACGGTCCGTACGAAAATGTATACTTTTAATAGGTAGCTAAGGTTGTCTCTTGCGTGAACAAGCCGCATTTCTTGTGTACTTGAACTCGCGTGCTAACGCAACGTGTCTATAGCGTTCTTTCTACCTCTACCGGTGCTTGTTTTAGTAATTTTAATTGATTTCAATAGACCGGCGCTACGTAATTTATGAGATATTGGTTACAGTTACACCATTATGAATAAGTTTAAGGGATTTATTAGCTGTTTAAATTTCATAATAGCCTGTGAAGATGTCAGGACGCTTCTGGGAGGAGCATTACTTACTACTTTAGTAGATCCGAGGCTACTAAAGTAGCCGACTTTAGTAGTCTCTTGTTTACTCGCAGATGAGATGCGAAATGCGGAGAATACAGTCGAATTTACATCTCGTGTTACAAGTTGCATAAAGTGGTTTCAAATAATTTGCAATTTTATAATGGTGTAACTGTTTCTATTAATTTAGACCACTTTTAATTTTTTGCTTAGTAATTTAATTTTAAAGCAGTTTTCAAGATCCAGACATGGATAAAGTATATACGTATTTAATATATAGCGTCGTCAAAATTAAACGGTGTCAATAAATAACCTTTGGAGCCGTTCAAGTATTACGTATGCAGATTTATTACAATTATTTCCAACATCCCCCATGCTTACGTACACATTTTCAATTACTGTATTGTTTTTTTAGCAAAGACAATATGTGGGATGCCAAGCATTGTAATAGCATACAATTTTGTTCAAAAAACTATTTTAGTGTCAGACAGGTGGCCCTGTTTTTGAAACATTCCCCTTATGCGTTGCCTATTACGTCAAAACTTGGCTTACAAAGCAACTACTTAGCATTTGACATAGGTGAGAAATATGCTTGTATAAGGTCATCAGTCAGGTTACATTATTTATCTGTGGAGATAAGTTTGTAATGTCTTCGTACACATGGGGTACGGTATCAGTTTAATACTATATTAAAGTCCAAAACAAAGATTCCATATTATTTATAAATTCCACTCATTTAAGGTATTGATTGACACCGTTATTTTTTTTATATGTTTTCTAGTACCGAAATTTAGACTGCATTTAATCTGGCCTCACATTATTAGGTTGAGTCTAACGAGTGTGTTATTTGATTGGAGCATTTGGCATTAAGCCCCGCCCTCTTTGGAAATGCACCAATCGTAACAAAATTGCATAGGGACCATTTATTAACTTATACATTATGTCACGCGTTAAGGAAGAGGAAAGGAAGACAAAGTGTCACATTTAAATAAATCAGCAAATTCCTGTGAACTGATGTATGGATGGTCCCATAGTAGAATCGTCCGACTGAACCTAACAATGTGAGGTCTGAGGGTTTATTACCTACATTAATGTATCAATTTATTTGAAATAAGCTAGTATCGGTCTTTGCAATGTCAGACATTGTTCTTTAACATAATGTGAGCATTATTTTTGTATTGATCATAATTACTATTACTATTGTCTATGTGCGTATTTGCAGCACCCTTCGTGTAAATAGTTCGGTGTCTATGGTACATACAAATTGATAGAACAGAAGTCCCTTAAACTAAATAAATAACTATTAGATTTGGTGATTTATTCATGAATACGCCAAATGTTTTACCTGTAGATTGTGTTGGATTTTTCTTATTTGAGAAATTGACAATACATGTATAGTTAAAATAAATTTGTGGGAGCTTTTGCGTAATAATGGCGTAACGGTAGTCAAGTTTCCACACTGAATATTTGTGGTCTCACACATGATACTTATAGCGGAATTAAAAGAAATAATATAAATAATCGAGTAGTGAAATGGTCTTCCGCAAAATATCACCTAATTCGATAAAAATAATCTAATTTGATTGTTAAGTTATATTGTTTAGTTTAAAGGATTTCTAATGATTGTATTAATAAAACAGTTCAGTTTAATATAACTACATAAGAGACTCGCTAGCAATACGCACTCTACTGCTATTTATTTGAATATAAAATAAAATTGTCATTCCACTTCAAAATGTTAAATATTTTGACACTTAAAGGGGATCAAATCCAATGTCAGTTCGGAATTATATTAGATATACTCAGAAGAAACTGCTCTTGCTTCAAATGTAAGAA